GACTCTAAAGAGAGGAAGCCATATACACAGCCCTTTGCAGAGTGACAGATGGTGTCCACAGCATTGGCTGATACTCTGGCAGCTGACCAATTAGATTCTTGGGATGGTTTTAGTTATACTGTTTAGTGGCATAGCTAGTGGCAGCATGCTGCAGGATCTCTGTTTATTCTTCTGGTTCAGTATGAATATATAATTTTCCCATTTGCAACACCAACCAGTTGGCTTCATACCATAAAAATGTTACCCTCTTTATATACAGTTTCTGATACTCCTCCATTCATATTCTTTGAATCTCCTTCTCTGATGCTTCTTCATCTGTATCTTCTGAGTAAAAGTATTAAATATCTCCATCACCATAGAGCACTCTACTGCTTTCAGTTTTCTCATTGTCTTCAACCTGGTTGTCCTTGTTCTCTTTTTCCTCAAGAAGAGAAGTGACAGGCTGGTCAAAGATATTCTTCTCATCTCTGGACAGTCATATTGTCATTGTTGTTGATCTGCTGCTCTAGCTGGATACTAGGTTCAGTGGTGAGGCTCAGATTGAGAGGGACTGAAATCATAGAGAGCTTTACTTAGGGACTGACTCCAATTTGTGTATTGTGCCTGTTGCTGTCAGCCATTCTTGCTGCCTCTGGGCACTCACTATAGATTCTGAAGTTTCTATAGAATCTTTTATTGAGAAACTGGCAAGTGACTCTACTTTCAAGAAAGCTTTGAAGAACACAAGCAGAGATATAGGTATTGACAGAAACTTATAGCCTGTAGTGTTCAAGGATGGACTTGTCATCTCTGAGAGTGGTGTCAGGACTGGGAGTTCAGCTGGAAGGGGGATATTAGAGGGATGGAGAGTGCATGGTGATTCAAGAGACATCATCTCAAAGTAGAGGAGGAATTCTTCTATCTTCTTTTCTTCTTGCTTTATCTGCTGTGAGTACTTCTTGGAGTTCTGAACCCCATGAGTCTATCTTAGTTGTGCTAGACTCTCTGAAGATGGAAGTTGACTGAGAGAGTTCAAACTGGAGTTCATATCAATCTGGAGATGCACTGCTGAGATGCTTGGCCTTGATCTCATGCTGTCAGGTATGAGCTTGCCAGTCTCACTTGGCCCTCTCATAGGCTTGCTGTCCTTCTGCATGGATGTGTGCTGCAAGCTTGCTGTGAGCTTCTGAAAACTCAGTTTGTCCTTGGTTCTGCCACTGCTTCTCCTGTTGAACTGCTTCATTCTAGTTAAAAGAAATGTTAAAGTCTCAGGCTAGAAAGAGTCAGTGTATAATTTCATCTCTTGCTGTCTCCTCTTCTCATCAGTCATAGATTTGCTGAGAGGAAGACCTTTTCATCCCAGCACTGGTCCTAAAGGACCTTGGAGTTGAGGCAAGGCTTGAGTTCAGAGTTTGGTAGTTGTCAAGAGGAGTATGCTGAGATCTCTGAGCCATCCTAGTAGCATCAAGGAAATCCTGAGTGTGATCAGCAATCTCATGGGTTCTAGGAGCAGTGGAAGAGTCAGAGGAGAGAGACTGGCAGAAAAAGTCCTCTGAAAGGTCTTCATCCTTATGGTTTAGAATAGAGGGCAGGATCTATAGATTTCAAAATCCTGTGAGACAATTGTCTCTGTTTCTGCTGATTGATCTGGGGAGGTATCAGTGTTCTTCTTCTTGAACATCCCTTGTATGTGAGCTGCTAGGCTTAGCTTCAGATATGGGGCTTGCCATAAGCTGATGGGATATTCATCAGAATTTGGGAATATCATGAAGAGGAAGGTTGAGGGTTATATTGCATAGAATATAATGGATGTTTTAGAACTCTTGATAATATCTGACAGCCCAGGCAGTGATTGATTAGCATCTCTGGCATAGCTAGATGATCATCAATAATCCTAACAATGTTCTGATAATGGAAGCAAGGAGTTCAAAGAACTCATGATCAAAGTTCAGGTCTGATAAGTTGATTGGAGGCATTTGGTTTTCTCCACACTATAATGCATAAGGAAAGAGAAGTAAAAGCCTCAAGCTAATTGTTAGACTCAAGCTGCACATGATCAGAAACATGTGATAGACTAGTGTGTCTTCACATTTGAGACTTCCACTAGAATTCACTTATTGTGCTTTATTGACCAATATGCTTTAAGGCCTTTGAGAGTAGCTTGAGAGTAGAATAAGATGGAATAAACTTTAGCTCAAAGCTGAGGATTTCCAGTGAGAGCAAGCCACCTTAAATACTATACAGATCAGGTCTAAATATACTACTGCCTATTGTACATTGTCAAGTCCTTTATGCCCATTGTTCTTAGACATCATTACTGTACACAAAAGGTTCATTGTGCATTGTTGGGCAACACTGTTGCATCAGAAGACAATGACTGACTAGGCTTTGTTGTGATGACTAAGCCAGTCTCACAGTCTTAAGCACTGGTCTAAGTGCTCTGACTAAGCATAAATAGGGGTTAAGTCACAAAAAAAGTAAAAAGATGGAAAAATCATAATATAATCCAAGTGCATGAGCTGTGAAAATATTGGAACAACAGCATACCTCAGAAGAATCATTTTTGAAAGTTGTAAATGTTGCAATAGACTATGCATGCATTGGAGAAACTGCAGACAACCTCAGTGATAAGCTATTAAGCCTTGAAGAAGCTAAGACAAGGCCAGACTGGCATCATTGGAAGAAAGCAATAGATGAAGAATACAATCTATTGACTTTTCTAGGCACATGACAGCTGGAAGAATTACCCAAAGACAGATCACTTGTAGATTGCAAGTGGACTTACAGATTGAAAAGGAATGGTGATGGGAAAATCACCAGGTATAAGGCCAGACTTGTTGCAAAAGGATTTTCACAGGTATCTGGCATTGATTTCTTTGAGACATATGCACCTGTTGTCAGGCTGGACATATTCTGCCTACTTATGGCAATTGCTGCTTAAAGAAATCTAATCATTCATGAAATAAATATTGTTGGAGCTTACTTAAATAATAAACTCAATGAATCCATCTATATGATATAGCCCTCTGAATATTCAGATAGGAGTGGAAAAGCAGCACACCTCAAATTAACATTGTATGGACTCAAGCAATCTGGCTGAGTTTAGAACAATAAATTAAATGCTACATTTTTGGGACTTGAATACACCAGATTGATCAGTGATCAATGTGTGTACATCAGACAAATGAGTTCTAGTCCTATAATCATAGCTGTACATGTTGATGACATGATATTGCTTGCCTCAGATGATGAAACCATGTCTAAAATGAAAGAAGAGCTTAAGAAGAAGCTAAATGTCACAGACATGAGAGAGATTCAATATATATTAGGCATGAAGATAAACAGGAATTGGAATAAGAGCACTATCACTCTATCCCAGAAGGCATATATTCTCAAAGTACTTGAGCAAATGGGCATGAATGACTGCAAACCAGTCAAAATGTCTATAGACCCAAATGTACAGCTAGAGAAAATTCCAACAGAAGACCTACAAGACATTGACACAGCCACCAGGCAATATTACCATACTGGTGTTGGATCACTAATGTATGCAGCCAATAGATTCTGGCCTGACATCACATATGCTATCACCAAATCAAGCAAGTATGTGCAGAATCTGGCTGCTGAGTATGTCACAGCCTTGAAGTGAGTTTTCCACTATCTGAAGGAGACTCTAGACTTTGGAATCACATATGGAGAGACTATGAATAAGCTGATACTTTATTCAGACTCAGACTGGAGAGAAGATAGAGTAGATAGAAGATTAACATCTGGTTATGTCTGTATCTATGCAGGGGAGCTGTTACTTGGAGCTCAAAGAAACAGCTCACTATAGCCTTATTCACTATAGAAGCAGAATATATGGTCCTTGCACACACAATCTGAGAAGTAATTTGGCTACAAGCACTCTTAACCAAATTAGAATTGCCATCTTATAAAGTGACAACTATTTTTGTCAACAATCAATCAGCAATCAAATTCACTGAGAACCTCATATTTTATGTATGATCAAAGCATATAAACATATGGCACCACTTTGTTCATGAGCATATGGCTTCAAACAAAGTCAAAGTTCAGCACTGCACATCAGAGGAGAACTTAGCAGATATATTCACTAAAGGCCTACCAAGACCATTATATGAGTATCTATCTGCAGATATTCTGGGAACTCAGAATTGAGGGAGAGTGTTGGGATAGCAATCTCAAGTGAGTATGAGAATGTACTTGAAGATACAATGCCAATCAGCAGCAGCTGACTTGGATCATAATCCAGACTTATTTAGTATTTCATAGAAAGATCTCAAAGTAATACAAAATGTATTTAAGTAGAATGTCTCTCTCTTGAGAGGCTAATTCTAATCCTCTGTACATTACTCTGCTCTCTACTTACAACAAACTTTTTGCTGGTGGATGACATGCCTGAAATGAACACCATTCTGCAACTAATCACACTACTTAAGACAGGATGCATTTTTCTGCCTATCTGTAAGAAAGCTGGCAAATTTTTGTGCATTTGTGATACCACAATGTGCATGTGTGGTCACTATCACCACCATGTAGCATTGGTCAAGCCTTCCACACTTATGTACACTTGTTGAATAACATGATATGTAAGAAATAGTCAACTATCCCAAGTGTATGTTTGCTGCTACCAAAAACTGTCAACTGGAAGTTTTTGCACATGCACAGTGAAAAGAAAGGGATCCCCCGATGACACAAGCTGGTACTGCAGTGGCAAGGTCATCATGTCTTGATGTTGCAAGCAGAGCACAAAGGACAAGGACAGCAGATATATAACCAATACAGAGTGGTGCCTCTGTAATAGTGATTAAACTATTAAGAACAGATACTGCACTTGATCTAAGCCAAAAGGCCAGAGTGGTAAGGTTGTCGGATGTCCGGATACGCCTTATGTCTCAGGGAGTGCGCACAGACCATGCATTACGTGTTATATTTGGATCAGAGGCTGTCGCCACTCCATAAAATTTCACCTCCGATTCCATTCTTCTTTTCAAAACTCTTCGACGACTTATCCCTTCCATACACGCTCCTCCGGAGTCGAAAATTGTACGGGAGATATTGTTCCGTCGTAGATTTATTTCGACTTCGCTTTCGCTAGCAACACTACGCTTACGGGCTATGATGGATTTCTAGATAGTGGTGAAAGTTACATCCTTTCAGACTTGTACTCAATTATCTGATGCGATACGAAGAAATACCTCTACAATGGTTCCAGCTGAGCTCATGGATGTGATCTTGGACTATTTGCGTGACGATCCTTCGACTTTGAAGACTTGTAGTCTCGTCTCCAAATACTGGCTCCAGTCGAGCCGTCGTCATTATTTCCGTGCTGTTGTGACGGCATTAAACCAATACAAATTTGTCGAACTTTGCGCCAATACCAATGCCTTCATTCCACAGACTTTACATGACGTCTACCTCGTACTGGAACCCCAGCTAGAGACAGAGGCATTCTCGCGAACCCTCCCCGTCCTACAGAATACAACTTCCCTATACGTCAAGTTTGCCAAATGGGAGCCCAGCCTATCCACCTTATCGGCCAAGTTTCCCGGTATCACGAATCTCCGCCTGGACAAAATTATCTTCGACTCCCTCTCCCACGCACTCGACTTCATCACATCTTTCCCCCTTCTCCAATCACTTTCGATTCACGATACGTCTTGGCCAGATCCTCACGAGGATATACGCCCTCCACCTATCAGCCTAACCTATTTGACATTGTCTGACTGCTGTCAGCGGGACATCTTCGACCGGCTGTGTTCCCTCGAACCTATCCCATTGATACCGCACATCGACCTCGGCTATTCCGTGCGACCTGCAGACACCCGGTCCATCGGCACGTACCTCTCCCATCTCGGGGAGGCACTACAGACGCTCACCTTTGGATTCTGGTCATTCGACGCTGGAGGCGACGCAGGTGCGGTCCATGATTGTGTTTTGAGATTTTTTCTCGCTGACTCCCGGCCTTCAGAAGACTTTTACCTCTCAGCAGACTTAGGTTTGAATGCCAGCTTGCGCCGTCTGAGGGTCGATTATTTTATTAGTAACATGGAGGTGTCGCAGGTGACGAGTGCTGGGCCATGGATCGTAAAGATGCTGCACCGACTAAACCCCGCAGCGCTAGAGAACGTCGATCTGGGGATATCGCCTTGGTCGGGAGATGAGTTGGACACCGAGGATGATTCCATCGACTGGGTGGACCTGGATCAACTTTTCTCAGGGCGGCTGTCAGGAGCACGTCTGAGGTTTCTGGTATACGGCTACGCCGTTTTTGAGCAGATATGCGAAGGATTGAAGGACAGACTGGCGACATGTAGCCAGCGAGGCAACCTGTTGATTGAGAGATGCCGACAACCAATTTCACGTTTACATATATCGCACAGATAATATTCGGACGATGTTGAATGTCCGCAGGACGTAGGGCTACAAAATACAATGATTGTTGAATCTTCTAAGTCGTGTCAAAGCCAACATTATCACATAAAGCAAGCAGCTCTCAATCGTCATGGATACCCTCAGGCTTCTTGAATGTTGCCGCATCCACACCCGGGAGCGGCCATTGCTTAGCGAAGGCCCGTACTTCGTCTCTTAGCTGCTTCACCTTGGCGTAGCCCTCCTTGCCCTCCTCCTGCGTAGTCGCAACGCGCACAAAGTCCTTCAGCATCTTTGTTCCGGCTTCCTTCTGCAGGATCAGAGACAGCTGGACGGCGCGGTGCAAGAGGTCTGCGACGACTTTGATATCGGACTCGACCATGTTTCGTGAAGTCAAAGCGGAGGTGCCTAGACGAATACCACCGGGGACCTGCGCGGAAGCGTCACCAGAGACAGCGTTTTCTATGTTGATAGAGTGATTAGCATGAGCATTCTCAGAGAATAATGAACGCACTGTTGATGGTGATGCCCATAAGATCACAGACCTTTTCGATTTTGCTACCAGTCAGACCGAGAGGACGAAGATCCCAGAGAACGAGATGATTGTCCGTTCCGCCCGTTTGGAGCTTGTAGCCATGCTCAGAGAGAGAAGCAGCCAGAGTGCGAGCATTCAGGATAACCTGTTTCGCGTAATCCTTGAATGCAGGCTGGGCAACTTGAAGGAGAGCGGTGGCGACAGCGGCGATCGTCTATAAGATGGTGAGCGCAGGCGGAGCCAAATGAAGCGATAGGACATACGTTATTGTGGGGACCACCCTGGCACGCGGGGAAGACGGCCTCGTTGACGCGTTTCTCGAGGTCCTTGGCGTTCTCGAGGTCTTTCCGGAAGAAGATGAGACCGGCACGAGGTCCACGGAGCGTCTTGTGTCTATAGATACGCGTCAACGCGTGAGGCAACCCAAAAGCTGAGAACTCACGTCGTGGTCGTGACTACATCGCAGTAGTCAAATGGGCTGTTAAGTTCTTGGGCAGCGACGAGACCGCTCGTGTGGGCCATGTCGCACAGGAGCCACGCGCCTTCCTTCTCGGCCGTCTTTTTGAGTTCAGCATAGTCCCAGTCACGAGGGTACGCAGAGGCGCCACAGACAATCATTCTTGGTTTGAATATCTTGGCTTGGGCAGCAAGAGAGGGATAATCGATGAGGTTCGTGTCAGAAGTAATGGAATATGGTAATGATTGGAAGTAGATGGAGGAGGCCGTCATTTTCTTTTTCGCAGTCTAGTGATATCGAGTCAAATAGCAGTTATTCTTATTAGCGAGCAATACGCACGTAATAACCGTGAGTGAGATGGCCACCGTCGGGAAGGCCAAGACCCATGAGACGATCATTCGGTTGAATGAGCGCAGTGAAGGCGGCAAAGCTAAATGAAACGTAAGAAACTATTGTTCGAGTTCATAGCCAACCTACTTGGCCGTCTAAAAGGAAAAAATATATCTGAGTGCGGATTTGGACGAGGAGAGAATAAACGCACGCTTCCAGAGTAAGGCTGCACGTTAACACCCCATTTTGCAGGATCGAGGTTGAACGCTTTGAGCGCCCGTTTGCGACAAAGGTTCTCGAGTTCGTCGATGTATTCGTTACCACCGTAGTAACGAGCACCTGGGAGACCTTCCGAATACTTGTTTGTCAGAATAGAGCCATTCGCTTCCATGACGGCCTGGCTGGTAAGGTTCTACACTTTCTTTCAGCCGATATGCACGCTCCAAATTGTCGGAATAACACACCTCTGAAGCAATCAGCTCAAGACCAGAAAGTTGTCTCCATGACTCCTTGTCAATGATATTTTGAACTTCTGGGTCAATCTCTGCCAAAGGGGCATACAGCATTTTATTCTAACAAGGATGAGTTATGAAGAACTTTTTCCAAAATGGTGATACATAGCACATACGAATTCAGGTGTCGACGCCGTGGCCATTTTTCTGACACTGGAGCGGGCTAAGCGTGAAGAAGGAGAGAGGGAAGGTATCCGAGATGGCGGTGGTCGGGAAAAGAGCAGACGAATCATGGCAAAATTATTGCGAGCGCGAAAATTGTAGGGCGGCCGGGAATTGCCGTTCGGTCACGACTCTCTCGATTCAAGCAGCTGCACAAAATCGAATGTTGAGGTCGGTCGACCTATCGTTTGGGAGGACGAGCAACCTTTGAGTGGGAAGGAAGCGATAAGCAGTGGTCACCATTTGTCCGCGCGGAACTCCGACCTTCCATGACTTTTCCGGCCAGTGTTACTATATACTATAGCAGTAACAATACCCCCAAGGAAAGGTGAGGAGAGTGGGGGGTGCGGTGCGTACGCTTGAAAAAATATTACAACGTCACCCTATACTTGGAAATTTTGTTTGTGGGAAGTTTACTGCAGGGTCCCGAGTCAGATCTTTACGCCGACTTCCTCTCTCCGTGACTGCCACCATCATGTCGATTCAGTTGCTACCACAAGAACTAATCGATGAAATCATCAATTTTCTTGAAGACGAATGGAATATATCTCCCGAGCCACTTGTCAGCTGCAATTCTGTTTGCCGTTCTTTCAGAGCCCGTAGCCGACCTCTTCTGTTTAAGATAATCATGCTATACGACGCAGCGTCGTGTCGGCATTTCCAAGAAATCTTGGTATCCTCTCCTGAAGTCGCCTTCTTCCCACGGGGCCTGGATATCCTTGATCCCGCTTTCTTGGAAGATGACGAGGTAGCAATGACATGGATAGCTCAGGACCCTGTTTTGCCAGTCATACTATCTTCACTCATCCGTCTTCGGAGCATCTCCATCGTCAGCGAGCCCGGGTATGATGATTGGGGAAGACATGTCCGTCCTTTTGCAATCCAACACGCTTCAGACGCCTTGCACAAGTCACTTATCGGTGCCTTGCGCTCCCCCCATCTAGAATGTATAAGACTGGAGGGGGTCATTGTTGATTCATGCCACAACCTCTTCAACTTCCTTGCTGATTGCGGACCCTCTATAAAGTCCCTCGAAGTTCTTTCCCTCTGGCATAACGAAGAGGGTGACGTTGGTCAGTGTGCGGGTGGCTTAAGTCTGCCCGTATCGACAGGTTCTCGCCTCCAACTCCGGACATGTAGCATTCATATATCTGAATGCATCGTCGACTATCTTTTGAGTCGTCATTCTGCGGTGGATATCCAATCGGTATGGGGTCTGGCATTGCATTTGAAGCACGCTCGTCTTGGTGTTAGGTCAAGGGCAAGCTCCCTGCTCACGCACGTCGTAGATCTGGTTATCGAAGATTTTTATACTGGTACGTTATCGTCTCTTCATGTTCTGTCTGTGGCCTTGACATTACTTTCATACAGAACGCACACCAGAGATCTTTGATCTCGGCTCTTGCGGCAAGCTTCGCTTCATTCATTTCATTCCCAGGGTGAATATCACCAAAACAAATTGCTGGTCGTACCTTGCCAGAACGTTGGCCACGATCACCACAGATATCCTCGAAACAGTCGAGATCGATGCATACGTAGATTGGCTTGACAATACTATCCCTTCTACTTCAATCATTAACGAGTTCGACTGGACTGCTCTTGATTCGGTGCTTTCGAGACCCTCAATGCACAATCTCAAAAAAGTCCGCTTGACATTGACGACGTTCAGTCTACCTCAGAATGATCAAGTGGATGTAATTTTGAAGACTGGCTTTCCGTTGCTTTTGAAGAAAGGGATCAAGGTTCAGATGTCACATATGAATTTAGATGGATGAGCCCAGTCGAGGTATTGTAAGTGGATTGAAAACTTCTTTGCTCAAAATTCTCACTACAACGACAGAAAAGTTGTGATCTAATCTCTTATAAGCCTACCGCTGCCAACAACGCAGCAAAGTTAGGTGTACCGAGACCCGTGACCTAGAGTAAGATGAGTAGGGAACATCAGCCTGGGAGTGAACGCGGCGTACGGGATCCCCTTGAAAAGGTGGAAATTTGTGTTAGCCTTAATTGGGACCACAGATGGCAATCCACTTACAACCAACTCCTGCCGGAAAACCATTAGTACCGCCTATTCCATGTCTATCAACAGCCTGTATCGAAGCGGGGGAAATGAAGCTTACATCCCGGGTTATCACCGGTAGTGATATCGAAGAGCGCCTTGGGGTTCGCGTACAAGCTAATTTGTTTCAGTTCCTGGTCTCACGACCTCGACGTGCACTCACAAGGGGTTCAAAAAGCCGAGTACCGGTTTCCCTGCTGCAATTAGTCGATCGTTGATAAGGGACACGACACTGGCAAAGATAGGGCTCGAGCATGAGGTTCCACCAACCAGGCCTGCTTCTCCTCCAACCACGATCTCAACGTCATTGCCTTGCGCCGATACATCGGGGAATGCTCGGCCAGAGGTGTTGAACCTTCCGGCATTGGTGTTACCCAGTGCGGCGAGGTAGGCGGTGACAGCCGAATCTTGGTAGGACGGACGGGCAAAAACGTTGGAAAAACCACCGCTGCTGAAACTCGCGGAAGTCTCGGTTATACCCTCTGTTGCGCCTACAGCAGTGTGGACTATTAACGAGTGTCAGTTTTTAGTAAACTGTTTCAGTCTGGATAGATGGATACTCACACGGGCAACCTCCAGGGAATGCAGGAATAAAGGTCGTGCAATTTTCCCCTGTGAATATTCAGACGTTGACGGGAACGAAAGCGACATTAAACAAACCTTGCTGGCCGCCCCCTACACCACCGTCGCCTAGATTTACATTCTCCTATTCAGAGGAGAATCGACTGAGATAATTCAAGATATCACCTGATGCAAAGAGAATCGACACGCCCCGAGCACCGAGGGCCATGTAGGCATTGCACAAGCGTCTGTGCACCATAAATTATTTCCCGTGTGAACAGCCCCAAAAAAAAAGCTCACATTTCAGCACTGGCCGGAAGGTCCGTCTCGTCGAAACCGTAGCTCGTTGTCAAGACCTATAAGCATGCTATTGAGCAGTGTGATTCGGCACAGGTAACAGCATACTTGAGGCGGGCTAGTTTCGGCAAGAAGGAAGTTGATGATATCGAGGAAACCATCGATGCCGTCTGTTGAAGCGTCGCCGACAGAGATGAAAAAGGTTGGAACATGAGTGGCAACACCAATAGTGTATTGAATGTCGAGATCCTGAGCCAGTGTCAGCACAACTATCAAGAAGCCTTCAAATTTAATTCTTACGGCCTCAATTCCGGCCTCATTCCGGCCCTGAGGGTTCCGACCACCATCGAGAGTCTGTAGAGTAAAAGTCGTCGTTGACGGTATGTCAGGCCTCAAGGCGCGCAAGAACGTTTGAAGATCTGCCTCCTATAGCACTCGTCAGCTCGGTACAACAAAAAAAACCCAGGAAATCCACCTGAGCGAACTGATCGATGAAGCCAGAAACCCCCAATCGATTAGTCGATTGCGTAGCGGGAGTCGCGGGAATGCCATAGAGAGCTTGCAGACATGCGGGTGTGACGATACTGTTGCATGACGAAGGAGCTGGATTTGCTCGCTCCGTAAGGTTAGCCGTCACAGGAATGGACATCATGGGTTTCGGGCCAAAGGTCGGTTTCGCAAAAGATGTCGTAGGATGCACAACCTCGATAAAGTCGGTCAGGTCTGAAGGTATCGAAGCGCTCATGGTACGGATAAACTGTTGCCCTGTTTCGATATGGACAAAAGTTTCGTACTGGGCGCTGAGGAGCGTGTTGGCTTTTTCGACAGGAATTGTGAATGTCAGCCAGTCATCGAACGCGCCGCTGGTTTTGACATCGGTGATCCCGTTATCGGAAAGCCACTCAGTAACGGCAGTTACTGCTCCTGAAGTTGGCGCGCTGAATGCTTTGACCTAGGCAACGATGAACAAAATAGGTATATAAACGTAAGGGGGAAATGGAAAGACCTCATCGAAGCTAAGATGTTGCCCGTATAGATCGCTATCCGGTTCACTGACAGCGTACAAGGCTTTCTCGAGGCCAGCGATATCAGTTGGCATGAGACCAATCCGGAAATTCAGATTAGCCTGAGGATCTGTCGTATCCGCCTTGACGAATCGGCTAGGGACAGCATCACGCTGATCGAGAACGGTCATGGCTCGGGGAGTGGGACTCCCAGTCACCACAGAAGAGACTGCGAAGAGAGCAACGCTCAGAGGGATGACTCTAACCATGATTCAGGACAGTACGGAGATTGGCACAGGTAACCGGGAAGCCAAAGCCTAACATTTATATTCCTGGGATCCAGCCGGAGCATAGTCCAAACGTGTAGCAAGTGGTTGCTTTCCTGATGCTTGGGCACAAGGATGACTAGAGATAGCCAGGAATAGTTTGAACGCGTCGATCAAGAACTGACCCGGTTGTTCATGACGAGGGAAAGGCAGTCTTAATGAAGGTAAGGGTGCCTGGCTCAGCAGACTCATTTTTTTTGTGACTGATAAGCGTGGGGGAAAACTGTCATAGTCCCACGAATATGAGAAAGAAGTCCTCGAGGTATTGAAGCTGACATATTGAACGATCATGATAAAACTTGGAAGCACTTGGAAGAGACTTTATTTAGAAATAAAGTACGACCGTGGTCCCATCGCATAAGGTAACCAGTGATATACATGTTTCAATATTCCTAGAACCATGAAGCGTGACTAGAATCCATATGCCAATTGCAAGTACAACATACCATCTGAGTGAACGTAGACCATATGCTTCAATCAGAATGGCGCGATACGTGCTTTGAATTGATCACAATGTAGGGAACCAGTGGCCGTGGTGGTGGTTCAGAACAAGTGCCAAATCGCTTCGCTCGCGTGCTCACCGTATTGTGGCTGTGTATCGGATCAATTTTGAAATGCAACCACCACCATCTCGTTCTCTTTCGACTTTCTCAAGCTCCAAATAGTAGGATTGTGAGGCCGGCACTGCCGACTGGGCATCAGAAAAATGTACTTTTGGTAACGCGACAGGGAACTAACGATGAGATACACGCTGCCAGGCTTATAATATCCTACGGAAAGTCCTCGGAAAGGAAGCAGGAGTAAGTAAATTGGACTCGTACAGACTCCTGGTGTTTGCTGACACAGTGGCCCTCAGGTAGATCAATGCCATGTGGAGCTCGAAGAAGCTCTTGTATCGTTAACTCTCATGCAGGACCCTTCAGTCACGATTGAGTTCCATCCGTACTCGAACGACCTAGCGACATCCCTACCAGAGATATCGACTACCTAAGGGGAACAAGATTGTTTTGTTCCGCTCGATTCGAAGGTTGTGTGTGCCACTTTTTCTCCCTAGTGCAGTAAGTCCCCCAACCGATTGTACCAAAGCAAGTCAAGCTTAAAAGGGCGCTATAGGTCCTCTTCAAGGAGATCGAAAAAGCCATTAGAACATCCCATTATGCCTTTCTGGCGGGCGCATCGTAGTGTTTTGTCCCTTCAATCTCCGGTTGATATCTGCTAATGTTGATCTCGACGCTGTAACGCTGGTGTCCTGGTCATAAGGAATCGACGTAGCCCTCTTCTCTGGAGCCAAGAACGCCACCCACCGGAATGTATGACGGTCAGTTCACAGAAAATTTGATAATATGTTCTTTGTGCTTTCTTTCGTGGCAACGATGTTGACTGGTTTTTGTTCAAATGGAATCGGCTCGCTGTGCACCGTCTCAGTGGCACAAATTGCTAAGCATCCCATATTAAACATTGCTTTGGCACCAACCTTCGACTTTTCCTGCTGTATTTTGTACGTTTATTAAGAAGTCGATTGTCTGCATCATTCAAACGCGACTTTACTCATCTTCAGCATTTGTTGCGAAGATTCTGGATAAGGTTAATAGAGCAAGTCCAAATGCTGCATACGAAACTAAAACTATGTAAGCGGACAAATCTCGTTTCGCTTGCGAACAAGCGACTACACAGGATTATCACTGTCGGAGTTATCTTAATGAATTCATTCACATTTCAATGGCGATCGAGAAAGGTATTGGGAATTGCAACTATATACGGGGTAACATTGGTATAAAAGGGCTCATTCCCTGTCCATGTGTGTACTCATCACATCATATCTTTCATCAATCATTAACGATATCGAAAAAAACCTCAAGTCATGTATATCTAGAACCAAAGCTTCAGCAACCAACACGAAGCGGAGATGAAGCAGTACGAACCTGATGAACCAGCAACGAGCGGGATTCCCTCGATTTGAGTCCAAGAACCGTTTACTCACTGCAACCCAGTTCCAGTTGAAGGCTAATCTTGCGAAGGGAGGAGAGTGCTTACAGGAGTGAAAGAGTGATGTCGCCGTTGACCTTGGCCTGAATGGCAATCTCGACCTCGAGGTTAAGGTCCAAGCGAAGCTTCAGAGCCTCCTTTTGCTTTCCAACACCGCCGCGGCCCAACCCTTTGTTGGTGGCGGGGGCAACTTGGTTATCACCGGCGAAGGCTGCGTCGGTGGGGGCGAATTGAGTAGTGGTTTGTGGGGCAGACATGATGTAGCAGTGGATACTGAAGTGAACGTTGGATTTCCTCTCCCTTTAAACGGTCATCTAACTCTACTTACAGTTTTGGAGTAACATAAACATAGCGGTCGTTTGCACCCCAGAATTACTATCGGGTAACCGTCTCCTTCGTTCCTAGCAACTTAACCTGTTCTGGTGATAGAGATTTCCAAGTACAGCTCGGGACTGGTGCGTCGTGCATCGGACAGAATTCCATTTCATAGAATTCAGTATGCTGCGTACACGAGCTGTTCACGAGTTACAAATGAAATACGGTAACCTTCTGAAATGACATCTGTCCAGTGGAGTTGGGAGCAGCAATTCGAGACCGTCCAGCGACGCACCGGATTGGCTTGAGGTGGCGGCGGGCGTACTCGGAGAGAAGTTCGGAAATTTGGGTGCCGTAAGTGAGCGGACCGAAAGCGAATTCGTTTGTAAGTCCACGACAAGGGTGCGATATCAACCCGCGAAGCCTCGCTGCCGACATTCGCCAATTACCTTCTGTTCTGGATTTGGGCCGCCTCTCTCGGTGGCGAATCTTCTGATCAAAGCAAAATTGACACTACTACTGCGGCGCATCTGGTTCTTGTATGAGATCACAACTCACCGTTCTCCGACTTGCTGTGTCGTTTGAAAACTCGCGTTTTGCTCGCAAACTAATTAGGTACCAACGGTGACGGCAATATTCGCAGACCAAGATGTACTTTTGACCTTTTCTGTATTACTGGTGGAGACCAGAGTCTTCCCGAGGGCAGCTGTGCCCGATGACAGGGTCGTACCGTAAACCAAAAGGTGACCAGAACTCTTGTGAGGTCATCGTTGTTCACTATTATTCTGCATTCTGCGATCGGTCGCAAGTGATTTCTAATGCGATTGGTTGGACTGTTGCAACTACGGTCATTCTTCCATTGCAAGAAGAAGGAGCCGGGGAACACCGTGGAGAGCGGCAGGAACAGACCCAGGCGCAGTTGGCTTGGATCCATTCGAAGTTCGGGTTGACTTTTTGAACGTTCGAGGCCTGGAATAACTTGGCTTCTTGGAGCCCCTCTCGTACTCATTACCATGGCGGTCGCTTTAGAACTTCCAGCGCAAAACTGAAGCATGGAGCAGTTAGCCCAACTCAGGGAAATAGTAAATTATCGAGCTTGAAGTAAGAAATATTCCGGCGAAATTCAGTTGAGGCTCTGAAGAATATCTCGGAGCATATTGCCCTTGGGACCTCTCATGGGCTTTCATTTCCTATGTGAATTAATTAGCACAGTACCGCAGGTTCTGCTCATCTATATCGGGTAGCTCTACTTCTTTTTACGGTTAAAGATTGTCCGTCTGGACGAACCGAAAGTTAGTTTAAGAATCACTGGCTCAACGACAGATAAAACAGGAGGTAGAGCATCATGAAATTTTTCTAACTAAAGCATGCCCAGGTACCACATATACCCCGGCTTTACTTTGCTTTTGGGCTCTGGAATTCGAGGCCCCAAATTCGACGTACATACCTCTCCGAGAAACACGTGATGAAATGAAAAAAGGTTCTGGAGCTGTCCTGGTTGGGACTGATAACAGTGGGTAAACGGAGATTATGAAAAAATGCTTGAGCACTGGGAAGGAAGCCGGGTACACTAGTCAGGCCCAGTAACGAAAACAGCAACTATCTCTTGATCTCCACGATGAGTTGATACGAGACAAGCAAATTGTCAAAGTATTAGAGACGTCAGAAACAGTGGAGGCATAATGATGGAAAGTCAGAAATGACTACAATTCCGTTAGTGGTTGACAAGAGACACAAAAGAGCTGCTCCGTTCTTCGCCACGATATCGAGCGTTCATTTTCTGGAATTCACCTGCTTGAAGCCCAAGATACATGCGTTCCCTAAGGATGTTGATGTCGTTTCACGTTGTGAACGTACGGGGGAGACCCGAATTTCAAATTTCAGCACCTTGGTGGCTGTGTATGATCTTTCAGACCTACATCGGACCGGATTTCCGACGCTCCTTTTTCTCGACCATCACACTTCAAGCTTTGAGGCCTTGAGACTCTATCGTTATGGCCAGCTGTTTGCGCTTATATCGTATCATTTATTTTGAGCTGTTGTTGTGACGCTGAACTTCACAACCACAGTTCCGAGAGTCCGTTATTTCTCAACTCAGCTTGTGCAAACAGACTTGCTGGACAGACACAATGCCCTAGTTGACTCTGGCAGCATAGAATATGACGAAGGGCAGGTTAGAGCTATCATGAAGGTACGCGACTTGCCAATCTTTTTGCGGTACCCTCATTTTCCCACTAGTAGCTCAGAAGGCTCAGTAGGGACCTCCGCAACTATGCTCCAGCCCAAAGCTCGTCCCTTCCTTTGGCCGACATGTCTCCTGGGCATTCCACTGTAGACATGAAAGCACTCATCAAGTCCAAAGATCTCGCCCTCGAGATGGAACAGCTGACGTCCCCCAAAGGCTTATTTCTCACCGGCCCTCCGGGCTCAGGAAAGACGTTTCTAGCCGATACCTGGTTCGCATCTTTGTCGACACCCTACAAGTCTCGTAAACATTACAACGAGTTCGTACTCGATCTCTACCGTGCCGTATGGGAGGAGACAGCCAAGCGAATGCGCGATGTTGAACCTTCTCATAGTAGCGTCGAACCGACGACGTGGACCAGATCCATCCGTGATCAGGTGCGCCAGATGCTTACTGTCGACATCGACAAGTTCGATTCGTTCTGGCATCGTTTGCGACGACCACCCCCTTCACTCCAGTACTCAGTACCTATCCCATACGTCCTCGCCTCCAAGATCTTACGCTCATCGTACGTTCTCCTCATTGACGAAGTCCAACTCCAAGACGTCTCCAGCACGCTTCTTCTTTCATATGTCCTGATATGGTTACTGGCGCATGGGCGGTGTCGTCGTTGGAACCTCGAACAAGGTTCCAGAGGATCTCTACGTTAATGGTGTTCAGCGAGAGAGGCTTGATACATTTGGCGGAGCGTTAAGGGCCCGATGCGAGGTCGTCAACGTCGGGGAAGACGAGAACAAAGATTGGCGAATCCTGGGTGCTCAAACAGCATCAGGGCTGAAAATGTGGTTTCTCAGTACAGAGAAGGACGAGTTTGAAAATGTTGTCGATGCGCAGATCGGCTTTTCGTCATCTCGTAACCTTACCGTCTTTGGCCGTCAATTTCATGTTCCTCGCGTATCAGCCCAAGGAGTTACGTGCATGTTCTCGTTTCAGCAACTTTGCGAAGAGGTACGGCCATCCAGCCTCTTTTTCACGACCGCAGTGACTCAGATATATGTAGTCCCTTGGCCCAGCCAACTACCTTACACTGTCTTCCACGTTTCGCACCATTATCATCACCGACATACCCATCATCCGCCTGCCTTCCGGGAAGAATCAGGCTAGGAGGTTTATCAGTCTCGTCGATGCTCTGTATGAAGCTCGCTGCAGAGTGGTGTACATGGAAGACGTACAACTGGACGATCTCTTCCAAATCGACGTTGATCGCGGGACAGACAATACGGACGTGATGTTGGCAGAGTCTGTCAGCCTGGAGAAGTATCGTCCAAATGTGATCTCATACCGCCACTCAGATGGCAGTGAGCGAGAAGAAACCCGAGCGCCACTGGAAACCTAGGGTAAAGACGTGGGAAGGAAGCAGTGTGGTAGCTGGTTATGGAGGGGCATATCGTTCTAGCGGACCTCAGGCTGCTTCTGCTCTCCGGTTGAGCGAAAACAATATGTGGGGTGTTCTCGAGGACTGGGGAGGGGGTGGTAGATGGGGCAAAGGCGTGAGTGCTTACGATGAGAGGAAGAAGTAGACCTATCCATTTGACAAGGATGCGTTTTCCGCAACTACGGCGGTGCTCGACGTCCGACTTGTAAATCTGCTTCATTTTTGCGTTGAGAGCCTAGACTTCCTAAGTCTACGTTGGGGGTGCAGTTTCTGCCTCCTGCATGCCTTGGCGTGAAGACATTGCTCCCTTCTCATCTTTGCACAATTCTATGCGGCTCGGAAGGGGGATTTCTGATAACTTTGGACATCCTTTATGTGCTTTCATCTTCTTCCAACGATTTCTCAAGCCATATTCCAGGATTTTCAATTCGATGTCGTGCCTTACCTGCAGCAACTGCGGATTCCTCAATTTCCCTCCTCCCGAACCACAGCTAAAAGCTATCCAGAACTCTGATGGCATCATTTCGGAAATTCTGCGTGGCTTACGACCATTGTTCGACTCTGACCATGCCTTGATCAACGCGCAAATCGAAGAGTTGGAGAGGCTGGAATCCTCGTATAATGCTCAACTTCAAGAGATCCAGTTGCGTCACCATACGATCTTGAAAGCCCTGGAAAATCGCAAGTCCATTTATGCCCCCATTCGTCGCCTCCCCCGAGATATTGTCATTGAAATCATCCATTCTGTTTGCGACTCTTGGTGGCAGGATGAAAACGGAGAAGAAAAACACTGTGATAATAGTCTAGACATGGCTGGGCCCATCTGGGTCTTAGGTCGTGTCTGTGGGCTTTGGAGGGATACAGTATACATCTCGCCCGTATCTTGGGCTCGGAATATCCTAGTGAGGGCCCCTTTTTCTAAGCATGCCTGCGAGATTTGGAAGACATATCTCAAACAAACCGGCCAACATCCTCTCAGTATGCGGATCTCCTTAACCAGAACCAAGCTGGCAAACGCCAACGAAATAATGTCCCTACTTGTTCAATCCTGCCAACGCTGGAAGAACCTGTACATTACCTCCCTCATGTCTCATACGCACCACCCGAAATCTATATCGCACCTTCCCGTCCTGCAGACGTTTCAAATAAATATCTGGGATGACAGCGACGATGTTTATCGCTTGGACATGTGCTTGAATGCCCCGCAGCTATGGAAAGCATCCCTTTCACTCATGGGGATCCATCAAGTGCAGTTACCGCTCGGGATAACTCATTATTCCGGACGTATCACTTGTGCGGAAGATTTACAACTCCTTTCCCAGCTACCCAAGCTCAGAGTGTGTCACTTCTGGCCCACTCAGCTGTTGCTAGCCTTAATTGCGGTGCCGGTAATTATGACGGAGCTCTGCCAGCTCTATGTGGACGATATACATGCCCTCAAGCTCCTAACGGCACCGAGGCTCCAACGTCTGAGCATTTCTGCAGGTCCATCGCAACCATTGTCCGACCTCATCCCTTTCTTCTGTCGATCGGGATGTCATCTCAAGAGCCTGGGTATGTGCTTGACGGCGTTGTCGTCGGCATCAATTAGGAACATCTTCTTATCTGAAGCATGTTTTACGATCTCTCACTTCAAAATTGAACTTGACTCGCGAACGATAACCATTAGCAATGCCCTCGCCCCTCCCTCCGTCCTGCCCAATCTGCACCATCTCGTCCTCTGCTTCATGGATCCGAATTTCTCAAGGAGAGAACAGTTTGCCCTACTCGATATGATCAGATCTCGCCGTGATACAGGACTGCTGAAAACAATTGAAGTGCAGTTCTATGATGACCTGCATCAGGACAATGTTCATGGTATGGAAGCGGATATCCGAGTACTCACTGGCGACAATTTAAAGATGCGGGTCGAGCAGCGGGTCCCATTGTATTTGGACCACTTGAGGTTATTTTACTCGCGAGAACATGATTGAGAGACTCGGCATTTCCCCAAACGAAAAGCTTTACTGTTTGAGCGACTAGACAGCATTGATAGATCTACCTCCCCAAAATAGGTAATAGGTATTTGATGCTACATTGTGAGACGAATCCAAATTTTCCTCGTCCCAAGGAATTGGAGGATTATATCTAGCTAGAGTCTTGACTTGAACCGCCTGAACATCATCCTGTGGCTCGGTTTGCTTGAGAAGGGCAGAAGTATGAACGTCCATGGAAGTAGGAAATCGAACACCTGCTCCAAAGTATTCTCATTCACAGCCAACCCATAATCAATGTGGTTTCTCTCCATCTACAGATCATATATCAGTAGTTGCCAGCGTTATTAGATCTGGATATTAGCGTTGCTCGTTCAACTGGGAACACAGACGTGGAATCGAAACGCTTGCGGTCCAAATAGACCCCGACATGAAAGCAGGAGGACTTGTCCTAACTTCCCTGAACGACAGGTCTGGTAGATGCTACCGTTTGGGGGACATGCGGAGTAAACGTGCAAAGCGTGTTATCGAGAGATGATAATTCCTCACCATAGGCGCCGGACGCTGTTATCCATGAATGCTGGAGTTACATTTTGGATTCTCAGCGGGCAAGCTCTGCCTTGTTAAGGAAATAGGAAAGATGAGATTCAGAACGCGGTCAAGGCTGAAGAGCTAGAAAGCATCAAGCAAATGCTAAGACCACGAGATGTTGGCGGTATTTTTTTTTGCAATATCCATGAACGACCATCCACGATGATGACTTGAACAAGTGCGAACCCTTATGGCCACCCAGATAGAAGCAAGGCATGCGAGAAAGATCACCATGAAGACACGGTACTCAGTTCAGCTCCGGAATCTCATGGGGCAGGATTGCATCTCGGAAGAGTCGAACTCCATGCTCGTCATGATGAGCATCGGACCCTTATGTCCGCGAGGGCTGGTCCAGATCCGTCAAACAAAACAAAGTGTTGCTGAAAGGTGGCAGAGTTCCGTCGAGAGTCTGCGGCTGGAACGGCAGGCGCTGCCTGGACAAGGGTGCCCGATAACCCCAAACTTCTGGCACGACGCCTGATGAAAGAGCATGATGAACATCAGGAGGCGCGCCGACTGATACATATCAATACGATGAGGAATTAGCTTGCTGACTTGGTGTCGGTAAAACAAGAAGAAAGATCAAGTGCCCGGGTCAGGTTCTGTTCGACTGTATCTCCACTAAAAAGTGACAGGTTGGTCTTGTCTGCAGGTAGATGTCCTCTCCCGTATCTCCTTCCATGGTTCCAAGAACGGTGGAGAGACTTTTGAATGTTACGAGATGGGTCAACCCTGTAGAGGACCGTCATAAATAGCTAGGCTGAAAACATGCCTCAAAAAAAGACTGCTCACGAAAGTCGTTCTCAGAGCCTAGACGTGAACAAGCTTTTCTCGCAAACTCTTGGTTCTCCGCCTGATGACGAGACCTCTGGATCCAAGTTACCTTGACGTCTCCTGGCAGTTGTCAGTAACGATTCTGTAATGACACAGGGACATGGTGGTGAGAAGCGCTTTGGAAGTCTTGACTACTGGAGGCCAATGTTAATAATCATTGGACCCTTCACTCCCTGAGCATCGAAAAGTGCCAAACGAAAGGGAGCCTGTCGTCCGATTCAGCATAGTATACGTGAACAACACTCTATATCACTTACAAAACGGAGTGTTGCTATGAAGCGCTGGTGATTCTCGATTGTGTCCAGAAGAGGTTGTTCCCATGGACCATTCAAGGCCGTAGAAGCGCTAATTGTCCGATTTAGCATAGTATACGCGAACTATGCTATACTTCTTACAAAATGGAGCATTTCTCGAAGATTTTTAGTAGAGGCCGTTCCCGTCGTCCATTCAACCGAAGTGCGAACATGAAACCCTTCCTGCCTGTCTTTCCGATGCGTCAACTGATCGCAGGAGAGAGATCTCTTCAGGACCGCTTCACATCGCGAACAAATGATGTCGAAGAGCATTCAATTGGCAAGATGGTGATAAAGAAGCCTGAAGGAAACGCGGCGGCGTGACTGATAGGTACGATGAGCGAAGGAGACCGATGGAAGACATGTTGCTAAGTGGCAAATTTTCGAAGCCCGTAGTACGGCATAGTCGCTCAAACAGGGCATGAACTTCTGACCCTTAGCAACACCGACTTTATGAACCTACAAGAGCATCCTTATTCGTAATAACAAAAATGAATCTTGAACGCTTAGGTTATCAGGGCCGCGAAAATGTCACTCTTTGGTATCAGGTAGACTTGCTCTTTTCCATTGCTGAGATAGAGAGGGAAAAATACGGTGGCGCAACTGAGGCTGGGTGTCGTGCTCCTAGGAGTGTGGTAAGTAACCAGGGACGACAAGCTTCGGGCAAGACTTCTCACTTCGCGAGAAGGTTCTTCGCTCATAGTTTGCTGATTCCTACTACCGCATGCCGTTCCGTATAACGAGATGAGCTCCGTGGCATCGCTGCAAGAAATTTCAAGGGAAGAATAGGGCTGTGGCGCACAAAATTGCATGGTATCCATGCAGGAATAGCGAACTGAGAAGGTTTGGTGGATCCTTATGGTGGCAAGAGACAAGTCGGGGCCAGTTTCCATTCCCACGGCCACTTAGCCTGGACTTACAAGTGTCCATCTGTTACTTCGTCCTTTTTTCAACGACACGGCAAGGCCATCGTGTCGAACACATCCGAACTTACCCAATTGCTTCTCAGAAGGCCTCGAATCGCGTTTAAGCGACAGGTGTCACTCGTATCTGCAGCATGTTCAATACGAAATGTGGACCCTCTCTTGCGGTCTTCTACAAACTCAAATTGTTAGGGCAGGACACCCGATTCACGATGGCGCGATAATAACGTTGTCCGTACCCTGATCCTAAGACTCGTAGTATAAAAGGCCGAGCTCGTCAGGACTACTCTTCAGCATCACAATGTCTGCCCCAACTGCTACTCAATACACCACTGCTGAGACCTCTTCCGTCGCTGGCGGACAACTGGTCGGCCGCTCCAACCAAGGCGCCGTCGCTCCCAAGGAAGCCTTGAAGCTTCGCTTGGACCTGAACCTTGAGGTGGAAATTGCCATCCAGGCCAAGGTCAACGGCGACATCACCTTGTCGCTCCTGTGAGTGGCTTTCATGCTGTGGTATCCTCTGGCTAATTGTCCTTTTTTTATTAGCGAGTAATTGTACTGGGATCATGAAGGGATGGCATTGACATTCTATGATGACGTTCCAGGTAAGATTTTCTTATTATAACGCCTCGGTTGAAGTATTGAAATTATTACACTTAGAATCATCCTTACCTACATGAATGTCTTCCCATCATCTCTTCCCTTCACATTCAATCTCTTAGGTGTATTCAGCAGCGTTCAAATATTGTAGATACCAATTTGAGTTTGTTTGAGATTTATGCTCAGTTTGAAGGCAAATCTAAGCTTCTGTTTTTGGACTCGTCAGTTCTCCCTTTTACCCTCACTACAGAATACGCTCGCATCCCTTTCATTTTTTGAGGTTCTGATAGTTCAGTGTATCATTTATTCTTGGGATGCCGAACGTCAGAACGACCCTTCCGGGGGCCTGTCAATCAGCTTGGCAATGTTTTATTCGACACCGGAAGGATAGAATAGGACGAAGGGCAGGTCAGATCTATCATAATTGTACGCGACTTCGCCAATCGTTTTGCGGTATCCTTACTATTAGCTCAGAAGGGTCGGTAGGGACCTTCGCCAGCCCAACGCTCTGTACTTCCTTTAGCTGGCATCACTTTTGGGCCAGTCCATAGCGAAGTGGTGGTCCTGGCAGTACAGCGCCGTCGGAATGGGTGGTCAAGTGTATTCGGACCTTCCCTTTGAGATGACAATCATTGCCCACCACAGAGTGATTCAGGGCTGGACCGTGTCCGGAACTTGAGCGTCTTGTTTTCTTCCCAAAACGCTATCAACGTAATGGGTAGCGATGTCGCTGAACTACACGGTCTTGCAAAGCTGCTCAGTGCCGAGATTTTCTGGCACGATCATGCTGCGTGGCTGAAAAGAGTGTGGCTGCGAGCTACGATTGCGCCTTCGACCTGGGTGGATTCCATCATGGACTGGCACAAAGAAGGACCCATATAGCTGTGAAGATAGCCACCGCACATTGGTGCGCTCGTCGGAATTTCTGGCCATGCATATACTCATTTTTCATTAGCGTGCCCTATTCATGGATGCTAAAGACACATCAACTGAACAAATTATCGGAATGAAATGCATCAGACACCAATATAAATCCACATCAGCGGACCACTGGGACGTATCTCACCAGCAATGAGAGGTCTTTAGATCGTCGTAACCATTGCGTACCCATTCTTCGAATACTTCACATGCCAGACGAAGAAGGACACGTCATTATTGTGACGCCATACCTACGACCGTGGTATGATCCCAAGTTCAAAACCATCAGCGAGGGGGTTCAGTTCTTCAGAGAAATGCTTGAGGTGGGGTTATCTCACTGTCGTTTTTCGCAGGTTCTTCTTAACGTAGTTCCCAGGGATCCAGTTTATTCACCACAATCATATTGCTCATCTGTGAGTTCCTCTTTCTACTTGCTGTCCATCTCATCACGAATCCATTTTAGTAACGGAGGATTCACGAATATCGTGATGCATGCTACATCGATGTACGGACCAGACAGTTTCCACCCCTTAGAGAGGGATCTGAAATACGACTTCTCCAGTCGTGTGCGATATCGTTCACGCACTGAACGACCTCCGAGATACTACTTCATTGACTATGGCCTTTCGATCCTCTATAAACCCGAAGAACTGCCGGCCACCGTGCGCGCACATGAAGGAGGAGACAAATCAGTTTCTGAATTTCTTACCGATCCAGACTGGAGAAAGCGAACGCCGAAGCACCATCCATTCGCTTCGACATCTATTATGTTGGTAATGCATTCAGAGCCTTCCTCTGCAGAGTAAGTTCTGCCCCGTATTTCCCCGGCACAAGTCTGACGTCCTCTAAGGGGTCGAAGCGGATTATAAACTCAGCGCGAAAGAGCTCCGTGAGATGAAAGGATTTGGATTCATGGAGCCTCTGATAGCTGCGATGACTGAGCCAGATCCTGCGAAGCGTATCCAAATCGACGAAGCTGTCAAGAAGTTTGCACTCATCGAGAAAGGCCGTAGCTCGTTGACTTTGATACCTCGGCTGTCTATAACACCGATTTCACCATTTTCCGACTCTTCAAGGCTGTCGGTCACTGGGTGTGGACTCTGGGACTCATTGCACAGGGAATACAGGCCATCCCTAAGCTTTTACCGCAGCGACTGCTTGCCTGTTCAATTTCTCTTGTTCTTGATTTCGTTTCCTGTCACCGCTCCTGCGCTACACCCATCTACATCTCGGAATATATGTCCTTTCCTCCTGCTTAAGCATCATCTGATCTTCGATGGTGATATCTCTGACGGCTAGAAGGTGTATGGTGCCTGCCTTCCTTTTTTGCAACCAACAAGCCGATTCTGCATACCCTAGTCGTACTTCATTTTCACGCAATAGCCTCCTCGTGCTTGGATCAGACAATCTGTAAAGAGCATCCAAATATCCCACCTCCGCTTCTCTCTATTTACGTGATCTTTCGATGAGTACAGCGATAAAACAGAAACGAGTAATACCTTACTTTTAAGCCTCTCCATGCCAGAATGTCTTTCGTAAAGAGCAAAACTAAGGTGGGCAGTGAAAATGAACCGATACTTGTAGTCAAGAAGAGGGCAGCGATGTGCGGAGAAGGGGAAGAAGACTTGAGAAAGCTGGAAAAGCAAGTTCGAACGTGACAGGCGCCACGGACGCGCCGAATAGTATTTAATAATAAGGACGCGCACTCCCCGGACCAGAGGACACGTAGCAAAAAAGACCACCCACCAACCCAAAGAGTCAGGAAATACTCAGACTCACACAAGATACCGATGCCGAAGGACTCTATGAAGTCGTGTTACATTTGTCCAGTACAACTGACAAAAATTGAGTTAACGCGTTAATCCTACCGATAAAGTACCTGGAGGAGAGACAGGCCAGCGGCTAGGAGTTGGTGATGACCGAACATTGCAATTGTCCACTGTCCAGCCTCGCTAATCTGGGTATTGAAGTGAACGTGGCCATCAAGCACCATCTTCTGGGACAGTATCGCTCAAAAAATGATGGGACCCTAACGATCAACCTGCGCAACTGTCCATATTCTCGTACCAAGACTTGATCCACCAGATGCATACCGGGCAGCCAAAGATACCAACGACGACAGAGAGGAAGCTCAACAACTTCCTCACCCGGAGTAAGGCCTCATACAGCAGACTGTCAGACAACTTCTGAAGACTAAGATATCACTGAAATTACGTGACAATCGACGTGTACCGATGATACCATGCAGTACATTGAGAGGTATCGTTGGTAGTATCGAGTTCGTAATTGCATAGACTGGTACAGCGGTGATAGTATAATCCATTAGAGCGGCAGGCCTGAAAATATATGTCAGTGCTAGTGCATCGTCGAAGGAGATAAACGAACACACCATTCATCATCATACAACATTCCATCCTCCATCGCATCGTACAGCAGTTATCAACCCAGGCAAAGCGCCATGCAACAAAATATTAGTCGTCGTCACAAGGAAGAGATAGTTTCAAACTCCGACTGCCTCGGCGCAACATATTCGTTTAACATTCAAATCATTTCTCGAGTCTATTAGTTCTGTGGAACATCGTACTTGCGGTAGAATATCACCAGGCGAACAAGCTCTCAGACCTTTGGTGATACGTTTGCATGGGTAAGGCTTGTTTGATGTCTATCATTCATACACTCGATGCTGTTGCGCAATACGAAAGTCTGCTACTGTGCATTTTCTGAAGCTTTCTGGACAGGTCTTCTGACCGGGAACAACTGTGAGACTTCAAATGGGCGCTTCGAATTCCTGAATAACATTGATATTTGGCGTTTACTAGGTGCATAACTACATACGACTCCGCTGGTAAATGGTAACTTCCGGAAACACGACGAATGGGGGGGGGGGGGGGGGGGGGGGGGGGAAGGGGGGGGGGGGGGGGGGGTAGGGGGGGAGCTTACACGCGTCGTTTGTCGCGGCCTTCTTCGAGGACGGATTGGGTGGTCGCTACGTATGCGAGGAGGGCGGGGGGGGGGGGGAGGAAACCGAAAGAAGGTAATATCGGTGCCTAGGTATCTATTGATGTGTCGATGATTAATGATCCAAATAAATTAGAACAAACTCGAGGACTCGAGGATGCGAGGACGCAGAATCGAGACTAACCTGATGTACCAACATTTGCCTTCCCGACTGCCATGAGCCTAAAACGATTATTCCCTGGAAGTGAAGCTAAGAACACGGTATTTCCAAACGAGCCCGGATCTACTTACAAGAGGGAGAGGGTTATATCGCCATTGACCTTGGCCTTAATGGCGATCTCAACCTCAAGGTTAAGGTCCAAACGAAGCTTCAGCGCCTCCCTTTGCTTTCCACCGAGCCTTCCGAGGGTCGGTTGGATGACAGCACCGGCGGTGGGGTTGGTGCTGTCACTTTCACTACGAGGAGCGGGGGCAGAGCCGAAGACAGAAGGGGCAGCAGCAACGTAAGACATGATGCTTGAACTGGGCGGTTCGATGTAGCGACTAGTGAAAGCAAGTGCCTTTTAAATGACCATCGAATTACGCGAGGTATCTGAAGAGAACTCTCATGAGAAGGTGTGTGACATTATCCTGGTGCAGTTGAAACCGAATCCCTGACGCTTTCTCTACAGTAACTTAACCAATTATGGAGGGGCGAGATACTTACTCCTAAGATAGTCACCAGATGCATCTCGCCCCGCGAACCAGAGCAAGTCATGCCGCGCTTGCACTGTACATGCGGTTACGGATTAAATACAAATGTTACAGAACCGAATGGCATTTGTCCAAGTTGCTTTGGATGCGATCAGACGTCCAAGATCTACAACAGCCTGCGACGGACTTCAGTAAATCCGGAAATCAGAGCCCAAGAGCACTTCACACAGACACGAGACTCGGAGGCTCGGACCATACCCCTTGTCCAGAGTCGGGACTAGCAGAAGTATGTGTAACGAGCTGCAAGAAATGCTTTGGTATCTGAATCAACCCTTGATTTTAATTGCCGTTCTTCGTGCCGCAGTGATATCGAGCAAATATTGGCTACCAGCACTCATTTTTTTTAAAAAAAGATGAAGGTCTCGTCTCAAAATAAATTGGTTGTTCTGGCCTTCCATATAATTTGTGAAAAGACATGGCTGCGAGACCTCCTGGCCCGCTTTCCGTCCAGGAAATTGGGGGGGAGGGAGGGATTGCTTGACAGATCAGAGATTTCAGAAACTCAAATCTATCCTGATCATGAGGGTTTCAGCTGAGCCGGTTTCGACCTCAGACCAAACTCGGAGTCTTACTCGGAGTCTTCCTTCATACCCAAGAATATGCAGCCGCCGAAGAGCCAAGACGGATGGGCAACGCTTTCGTTAAAGCCGTCGACATCAGAAAACTTAACCCAATAGATCGTTCATCTATGATGTCAAAACACATCCTTGCCACATCCTAGCATTCTTCTCTGTTGCTCGTTCCTCAAACAAACGCATCCTTTGTTTTCGTGCGTTCCACATTTAAAATTTGGACTTCTGCTTCGATATTATAGACTAACACTCCAGGACGCATTCTCTTTCTTCTGTAAGTTTGCGCCATTGCATTGGTTTCTAAATTCAATGTGTTCTCTATCTATGTGGCTTGACTTCAGCTGTGGAACACGGCGTTTTCCCGATACTTTCATTTTCTTCTTCCCTATGGCTTCCAATGCACCCGAAAACAACGGTCCTATTAATCCCAGCGGCAACCGTCATGTACATATCATTCGTATCTTTTATCAGCATTTACTAATAAGGTTTTTCCAGTCCTAAAAACACAAATAGCTACAGCAACGAGAAACCGTTGAAATTGACGGCACTATCACAACAGGCCCATGCAATGCTATGCCATCCAGAAATTGCTTTACTCGTTGAACCGTGAAATAAGCGAAGGGTATGCGATCGCGAGCTACAGGGCTAATAAAAGATTAAGGCTGTCCAACTTGAGCTTCAAGGTCTCCTCGGGAGGTGCGGAGGCGATGATGGTGGGGTCAAGCGCTGTAGGTGCAACGGCAGGAACAGGAGAAGAAGAACGGCTGGAGGATCGCTGAGACATGTTTGTTAGATGGATCTCAAACGGACCAACTCTGGGATTCATGAAGGAGAGCCGACCGCCAGGAAGCAGGAGGGTCGTGGTGATTTTCGCGACATAATCCTGGCTCAGAAGTGAGCCGGCCGCCTGGTCACTGACAACTTAACTAATTGCGGACGCACAAGTTGGGTACCTAGCGGACCTGATGCTTTCAAATTGCAGCGACCTGCGGATTACTACCTCCACTACTCACTTGAGCTGAACTTTGAAGTGTTCTGATCTTCCGCGGACGCAATTTACGAAGCTTTGCTTTTGCGGTGTGTCGGTCTTTGTCGCGTCGCTTGTGGTCAGCAGCACACCTGAACTTCTTTCTACCAACTTGCCATATGCCAAGTTATGGAATATACTGCGTCCGTGTCTCCCGGGACTCAAGCTTTGCCAAAGTATCCTTCTTCTTGTGGGAAGCCCATGACACTGTCATCTTTGATTTCAGCTCTTCGTCGCGTTTAACTACATCCCCCATCTATGAACTACCTGGACTCATTCGGTACCGTAGGAGCAATAGACATATTAGCAAAATGAAGATGATATTGAATAAATGTTCGAGACACCATTAATGAGCGAGTGAATTATAGGAACCAAGCAGGCCTCGCCTCGCTGTTGCTAGGGAAGTCTCATCATCGGATTATCAAGCTTCTCTCCTTCAAATTTCAGACCAGATTGGGACACTTCTGCACACTCAGCAGTGCACGATGCGGCGGCCCTACGTCGTGTTCTTTTCCTGCGCATTCATTGCCATTACACGGGTCAAGGGACTATTTGGTACCTTTTTGCGGCTACAATCACCACTGGCAGTGGGTTCTCGGACCCATTTAGAAACGCATGCTTGTGGCGCTCGCAAATTGAAAAGTTCCCGAGCTTCGCCGGACAACCAAAACACTATTGGACAGGTACCTGATAAATTCCAGCGAAAGGCCGGGCAATGCAAAGATCTTCAACAAATACAGCAGCACGGAATGTAGGCAGCTACTTTGGATTCAATACGGTACTGCTTAAAATATACAGGCATCCAATCAATCTTAAAAATATGTTTGCGAATTACCTCTAAAAGTCGAATCAGCCCCAATAGCTAACATCTCCTCGTTCCTTAAGCCATAATAACCTTCTATGTCAGCTTCTGGTGTGAAATGACAAACACGCTCAGGCTTGAACTCATCCACCAGATGATGTGTGAGCTTGATGATATCCGGCTTACCGGGCTTGCGAGTATCTAGAACAGGATAAGCCAGTAGCGATACAGGAAGGAATAGATGTTCCACACCATTAACAACCGCACCAGGGCTATATGGAAGCCCCATATCAACCAAAGGGTCACAAAGGTCTTCCTCGTATTCGGCGCTATCGAGAACACCTTGTCAAATTTCCTACTAGTGATGTGAGGTGTAAATGGTGCAATCCTTCTCCCTGTAGCATCAAACAATACTCGACAAACGAGTGACACAATTCGCAACAAGCCACACGTCGAGATCCCGCGAACCCATATATCTTTTGGAGGTTATTGATCATTTCCGTTGACCAGTCGCTAGCTTGGGAGATGATGGAGAAGTTAATCTTTTCGGGAATGGTGATGGTAACGAAGCTGTGCCACTCACACAGTAGGTCAGTAGAGAACCGCCGGGATGATCCGGGAACCGGGTGAGGGCATGATGAAATAAGATTGAGGAAAAGAATAGAACGACGTTATATACCGTAGTCAACGAACATCTGAACGGTGTGGTTGAGAGAATGACGCTACGGATGGAGTTTAACCCAGGGCGCGAGCAACTGAGGACGATCATCAACCAGAAGGAAGCCGGATGAACAAGGGTATTTCCCAGATATATCTGTACCCTGTGATCATTCGTGGGGACGACCTGTGGGATTGAATTGGAAGGATAATCACGCCTTACTTACCCGTTCCCAAACTAATGCAGTTGCAGTCCATCCCATGAATAGATGCACGTGCTCAAAACGTGTCGTGACGCTTCACACGAAGTTTCTGGTATGAACAGATAATGATGCATGTCAAGAACGCCAGAATGATGCAGGTAAGGACAATGGCTGCTACTGAGGTCTGAACGAAAGAATGTCAGCGAACGAATCAGGCAGTCAGCGAAATGGGGCTCACTCCCTTGTCATTGATGAGCTCCCTTTTGGCTCGCACATCGAGGAGAATCAGCCAGACCGTGCCAGAAACGGCCGCACCACAGTAAATTCCGCTATGATGATGTACCCTTGCAACGAGATTACAAGCTCAAAAAGGCCATCTGCCGAAGGCGTCAACGCCAGCCCGATACCTAAATAATAAGGAACTCACGACTGAGGTCCCGCACAACACTGAACAACGCATAGCTCCTGGAGCAGATTCGAAATGGCCAGGAACGCGATTTTTGGAGAGCTGCCCCGAAACGCATAGGATATGAAGACAGATACCCGTATTGATAATGAGCACACCAAGAACAGACGCCGGCATATTGCAATCGTAAGGTGCGGACCAGACGAGCCTGAATTTTTTTCAGGTACATCCTCATTCTCGCAGCCGTCCCAAGGGTTCGTCTGTTTCTCGTCAGCGAGTATGGGCAACGCGAGGGAGATCATCGTCTCGGCGGGGCTGCTCGGGAAGGAGATGCCACTGGACATTACTCGAGTGTGTATGCTCAGGAGAAGCAACGTTGGGAAAGACGTTGAAAATGAGTGGTTTCAAGTGAGCACAGAATCCGAATAGGCAGCTTGCAGCGTCCCTATGAATTGACAATCATGCACACGATACCATTATGAGCTTGGTTTTCGGTCGTGGACGGTGTGGGAGGAGTTGAGAGCATCCTGGGACAGGTGGAGAACATTGTTTGAATCCGTCTTTACAGACCGACGCATCACACCCTTCAGTCTTTCGTCATTCTACGAGAGTGTGGCCAGGAAGGAGGTGAAACAACTACATACCTTTTTTCGAAAGGCGCTCAAGAAGGCTGATCAAGCAAATGCGTGGAGTTTGGGGGTCAACAGTCATTTGCTCATCGCCGCTATCTCACTGTAGCTAGAATGGCGAATGGACTTTTTTCCGTACACGCGTTCATCAAAGCAGAGATGTGAAATTACATAACCGCGAGCATAGAAAACAGCGATGGAGTTTGATGCCCCCCGATCATGTGTAGTCAGAGTCCCGGTGAAAACGCTGCGAGGAAATTAATAGAAAGATTTGAACGGGTGCGTCCTACAATATGAAGTGCTATTTAGTCATCACCGAGAGAATATAACACTTCAGAATACGTGCTTGGAATCAGTCGACAAACCCCGGTTTTGGATATATCGAGTCTCGTAATTGAATGCACTTCATAGAAATGTGTTAGGCGTCACCGCTTTCTTTTCTCTAAAACGCACATCGTGGGTCTGGGTAAGGTCGGAAAGTGGGGCTGGTGAGAATGAGAAGCTGAGGATCATGTAAAGACAGCAACACATACTGTCACCACTCAAGATTTGCAAGGCTTCTCAATTGAGCATATTTTTAATCCTTTCCCCCTAGTTTCAAGAGATCGTCTTACGTTCGAACTTACGGCTTCGATAAGTTACGTCTGTTAATAACTTTCATTAAATAGGACGGACCTTGTGTACGAGAGAGAGTGGGAATCTCGTTTGTCTGCCTATTATCACACAGATGCTCGGCCTGCTAGATATCTTGTCCAATCCAGCCGAACCCATCCAATTTTGCCTGTGAATCGGATTGCAGCAAGGCCATTCTTGCATCTAGCTCGTAACCAGCCGGCGCCCCCATTTTGCCGATCTGAGTCATCAGAGTTCTCTGCCTCGCCTTGCTCCCTAGTCAAGCACATCTCTTCGTGCAGTAACGGTGTCCTTTTGCATGATGGGCTTAACGAGTGAACCGGAGGAGTCAAAGAAGAGCATATCAACGATTTTGAAACCCGGATGAAAATATCCATGATAACAGACTCAGACATCCCGTGGGAATGTGAAGACTTGGGAGTGGGATGATGTATGGCAATCCAGTGTCTTGGAAGCTACGGCATTGAAGGTGGTAGAACCCATAAAGTGCCCGTGCATGCGTGTATAACGGAGATGGAACCGCTGTGACACGAGGCGGGGTATTCGAATACGTCGATGTACTACAAAGGGATCCGCTGAAAGTAGCGCTATCCTCTGTAGTACTGGATAGTACTGGTAGGGTAGTATGTTATAAGATACTATAAACAGTTCCATGGTTAGGGAACACGATGTACAGCGAAAGGAATTCAGGACCTGAAAGTATAGTCAGAACCAGTCTCGAAGAAAGTACAAACGCACCTTTCGACTTAGAATCTGTCCCAGAATTGAATGTCTCGTCCCAGTATACGTCCTGTTCTTCAAGTTCCACCCTCTAACTAGGCGCAGGAGTTCTCTGTCTGCATCTGTACCTATGACCCAACATCTGCCCGCACCGGCCTTTTAGTACGAAAATGCTATGTGCAAGTCTGTTCAAAATCACTCGCAATGGCTCGTACGCGACGACGATGGACGGATCCTCGTGTGCAGGTGGAAATCCTTCTCCATTGAACTGCCTAGTACCGGAGGCTCTGTGACCAACGCCCATGAAGCGGCCTCGTTGTATCTCTTCCGTAGACCATCTTTCTCGTCCATCCGCACTCGGACAATTGCCATCTTCATGCACCTTGATATCAAGGTACAGATGATGATCTAACCGCAGCTGTCGTCATTGCACCGGTAGAGACTGTCGATGTGTCGACGGAGTAAAGGCATCCCCAAGACGGTACGGAGCGTCGTCGGCGGCAGAATCTGGACTGGGAGCACGTTTTCAAGTCATTGGACTTTCTGAAAGGACGTCGGGAGCCACAACGACAAAGAAGAGGACTACGAAGAGCTCAACAGCACGCATGGTGATACTGGATGTAAAGTCCTATATGCACTATTATTTGGCAGGAACTTCTGAGATGCTCTTGCCAAGCGTTGACGGATTCGGCAATCTACTGCCGGCAAATTCCGTGTCACCAACTATCCCAGCTCCAGTCAGGAGGCAATTCAGGTTCTTACTACGCGACTTACACTGCACGTGTTAACTCTCTTAAATACAGAAATATACAAGAGCTGTCACTAGACATCGCTCTTGCGTTCCATTCCGATGTTTTCTTGTTGATTCTTGGGTTATGTGGCACACGCTTGCAATTGCGCGACGGAAATGGTTATAATCTTCTGCTCAGGAACATCCACCAGAAGAAACATCCTACTCATCCTTCCCTGAGGAGCTGAGTTGTCATCCAGACGAAATCTAGAGGTTGAACAGGTTTATGCCCATGTTCTCCGACTTCGTGTCAGAGTCTGTTGAGTCCTCTGCTAATATTTTGGGAGGTTCCTCTGCGCTGCTTAATTTTAGCCTTTCAGGAGCTGGAGATGTTCTATATTTGTGGATCGATCGGAGGCGACGTCATCGAAGCTACGAGGGCGTTTATAAGCACTGATCAGGTCAGACATCCATTCCTATCACTACCACCATGTCCGACTCTTCTCTTCCAATGGTTCGAGGGAGCAATCAGCGCTCCCTCTCGGGAATGCTTACATTTATTGCGTTACGCGCCGCCGAGTGAGTCCTAGCACTTGAATGAGACGCGCTGGTACTCATATATGACCGCAGCCCCGTACTCCAGTACACGCTCTTCGAAAAAGGATACGCTGCCAACGCGCTTGTACGCGTCGGGATTCTTAACCCAGCTAGAACACTGGTATCAGGGAACGGTATTGGTCCAGTACCAACTTTGCTTATGGGGATGTACTCGGTCGCCGCTTTTCGTCATGTGAGTTTACAACTCGAAAGTGGTTGCAATTTCTGACTGGCATTACAGTGCTACTGGGTGACGTTCACCAACGACTCAACGTATTTCCCGCCTTCTGCAAGTCTGTTCGTCGGCGCCTACAATGCTGTTGCGTCAACTTTCAACACATTTGTCGCGGCTTATACGCTGTCCAAGGCGTCCCCTCTGCTGAGCATCCCCGCTGATAGCTTTGAAGGATGGGCATCGGCATTGGGGTGGCATCAGTACGTTTCTTGACCGTCTTGACCGGCTTTCGATTGATCCTCTAATGCAGATGGGTCGGACTCGGAATGTTTGCAGCAGGAATCACCATGGAAATCGTTGCTGAAGAATCACGAAAGGCTTTCAAGGCAAACCTGGAGAATAAAGGCAAAGTTGATGATACAGGTCTTTTTGGCTTCGTGTAGGCGTCTTGTTTTTATTTTAAACGTGCCCATTATCTGACACCTCCAACAGGAGACATCCCAACTATCTGGGCTACCTTTTATGGCATTGCGGGATGACTCTTGCTACCGGCTCTATCTCTGCCACCATCAGCTATGGGATCTTCCAGTTTACCCAGTTCACGTTCTCCATCCCGGAACTGGCGACATATATGAGTAAGAAGTATGGAGACCAATGGACGGATTACCAACGTCGCGTCCCGTACCGTATGATTCCTGGTATATACTGAAAGTAGACTTTGGCGTAAGTTCCAAGGTAGTCGAAGTGTATCCTTGTGCCGGCTCGTTGTAACATATTGAAAAACGCAATTATCTTTGTTCGACCAATTGCCTCTTTAGACTCACCACCAGCAGCCCGACACTTCCTGAATTTGAATGCGTCTCGATTTGCAAGTTGCAACTCGATGCTTCTGCAAAATCGTAAAGGAAGAGCAGTCTAGGGAGAGGTGCGCACCCATCGACGTGATTCATACATTTTGGCTCATTGTTAGATGACTTTCTGATGAATCCTTGACAGACCACAGGTTGCTGAACATATGCGTTCATGGATGAAGTTGCACTACCGTGACCGCGGCCCGACGCTTCTTGAATTTGAATTCGTCTTTGCATCCCGCTTCAACTCGATGCCTCTGCAAAAATTTTAACGAAGCTAAAGGACGAGCGCGCTCATGGCCACAGGAGAAACGTGAGCAACCACCGACATGACTTATACATTTCGGCGCATGTTTGACAGACTGCAGATACGAGCTATGGTTAATTGCGTACAATGCTTTATTTTACAGGATTCAAAACCTTCCTTGTCAACGTGCATTCTTGGATCCGCCTGCCACTCTTCACACCAGCCAGCAAATCTTCGTCCTGGTCATAACACAGCACCCATATTCCCTCGCTTTCCTCCAGTGCTACAAATCCTTCCCAGCCCTCGAACGTCATCCTCTCCTGGTCGTCTGTCCAATCCCACGGCCCAACGATGTGCGGCAGACTCTGTGTCTTGCCACCATACGTGACGATAAGCGTATCTTTATCAACGTATATCCAGTTGAGCTCGGGTGGGTCTGGCTGGATTGTGCTCACGAGTCCCATCGGTTTGCTATTCCATGGGTACTGGATAAAGAACCCGGCGAACCCGTGTCCCCCCTCCTCTCGCTTCTCCTGATCAGGGTCAGCAAGGTATAGCTGCATTGGCGAGGATCAGTAACTCACAGATCGTCATGAACAATTAATTTGCTCACCTTGTGATCCCTCAATACTACCTGTTTGTCCTCTACAAACTCTTTCAACGGCGCATCTTCGCTGCAGTGTGCATACAGTGTAAACTTGGCTAAGCGTGGATCATCCTTATCCGCCTCCTTTGGTGCACTGTTGTTGTTGTTGTTGTTCTCCGCAGCTCTTTGTTGATTCCCTGCGCCCTGGGCTATACTTGCTACAGACGTCGCTGCTCCCACTGCAGCTAGCGGAATGGCCACGGCGCCTGCTGCAACACCGATGACGCCGACAACCATGACTGTTTTGATTCGGTTTGCAGTAGACGACTTTTTTGCCCGCCGGATGCCGGACCCGAAGAAGTTACCATTTCGAGGGGAAATGAAGAAACATTCAGGACGCGTAGCCCCCGTTGTCAAGCTGTAAATTAGATCCGCTTTCGTCATTCGAGGGCCAGACCCTATTTCGTAAACTCCATCTTCGCTTCGATGACATTGTCCCATTTGGAATATAGTCAACTATTCTTTCTAACCAAGAGCGAAAAAGTCATTTTACAGTGATCTAGACTGCGGCGCTAGTAGTCTCCGGAATTCCGAGTGGCCTACACTCGTGATGCGTCAAGGTACCTCTCTCACTGTGGCCGTTAAGCATAGGTGCGTAGTTCCTGGGAGACCGCAGAGTACTTGCTTGCTTGCTTCAACTCTGGATTTAATTAGACGTCACAGGATTTTGCGACTATGATAATGTATCGAGATTGCTCAGCCCTTACGAGCCTATTTCCAACAACACGAATCTCGAAACTAGTGCGCGCGCTGTCGTTGTGCTCCCTCGGATCAAACTTCACGAAAGCGCTGGCACAATTTCAAGGAATGTACAGGTAATCGTCGATCCCGACCCGACCGTAACCTGCGGTCGGACTGTACGTCCGTCCCATGCTGGCCGCCAGAATTAGTCGAGAACTATTCCAGCATTACCCCACCGCCCGTTTAAAAGCATGACCGCTTTCCTACATTGGAAACAAGAAATATGGCCGCCCCCGCCCGTTCAAACAAGACCAAGACGCGTTCGCGCTCTTCTTCCTCGTCCTCTTCCTCGTCGTCCTCCTCATCCTCGTCCTCCTTTGATGGGGATACCCCCGTTTTCGTCCCGAAAGAAAAAAAATTCCAATTATTCGATCACCCACCTCCACCTGTCGTGGCGCCGGGCAAGCAGGGAGTGGGCAAGCAGAAGGAGGCTCTGAAGCTCAGGTTGGATCTTAACCTTGAGGTGGAGATCGCTATCAAGGCCAAGGTCAATGGCGACATCACGCTGTCGCTTTTGTGAGTGCTTTCGAGTTTGTGGGAGGTTTGATGGTCCGCTGACGAATCTTATAGACAATAGTTGGTGGTGATGATAGTCTGTCGCCGATATCATTCCATGGATAGGTGAGTACTTTTTGACAACCTTTGTGCCAAATTTCCGATAAAATTTGTGCTGTAGCTGGAGGTAAAAGATAGCGACGCGTACATAGCTAGCACCACTGGATGTACCTTTGTGTCCAGTAATAACCACGTGCTGAACTACAAGGAAAATGACTGAAGTAAACGAGAGTATCTGCAAAGGACAACATGGGCATCCCGATCAGATACTAATTAAAATGAATCAATGGAAGTGGCCTCCTCAGGTAACACCGGCGATTCTTTCGAAGTAGTGCAAAGCTTGAAAGAAGGATCGTTACTCTTCGTTGGTATCAGAAAAACCTCTACTGAAGATGCAAGGAATCAGAATCCAACAAAAATTCAATCAGGATGGGATGATTGGCTTGTCGATAAAATGCAGCACCGGTGTTGGTGGAGAGTGAAAGAGAGGCCACCGGCCTCACCGTACCGAAAAGCTGATTTGCCCCCCCCAAACGCTATAACGGAAGGAAATGGACCTCCGCCTATGACAGTCCTGAGGAAGAGTCGAAGGGAGATAAGCCAGACGTGTTATAATGGACGTCTGGCTATAATGGAAGGACTGGCCCAGCGAGAGTAGTGAAAGGTATCCGCTATCCACGCAATGTCAATCAATCAGTTCAAGTCGCTACCAACTGATTTGCGAACTCAATAGTATGGTTTCTTCAAAATAACGACACTGCCAGTCTATGACAAGGGCATCAACTGGCTCACGCATCCAATTCCTCGAGTCCTGTGCGTGTCTCGCCCGGGCCATGAACCATCAGGCCTCAGGGCAGATCAGGGTTCTCCCGGTGATAATTCAGTCTGCATCGGACACATTTCTGATGAGATCTCTGCAATATTCAAACTGTAATAACTTTAGAATAAAACCTGTCTCAGAGAACAGCGTCCCTATTATTTACCCCGTTCTTATTCAACTTGAAGGTCGTGGTGTGGAATGGCCTATATCGAGTGGGTCGCCTCGAGGTCGCCTTGTCGGAGTGAATCCAAATGCTCCGTGGAGAAAGTCAGGGGCATCTAAAGAAGATCAGGGAACTTGAGATGTAGGAAGTTGAAACGCAACGTGGAAGCAAGCACGGGGAAATCGGTTTGAACTCTAAATAGCGTACCTTGCTTTGTATTCATCTACCGACAGCGCGAGAGGGTCGCTCCGAGTCAGGCTGGGAAGTTCTAGTCATACCTGGGGACGCTTCTGCGAAACTCGGGGTCTGTTGGCTGGTAATGTAGAATTGAACTGTACGCAAACGACTCAGTTTGACGCTTGGATCCCATCGACACATTGGCTTAAGGGTGGGCCGGAGACACGTCAAGCGCTTTCGTTTCAAAAAAAAAGAAGCAACTGAAAACTTACTATGTTCTGGCGAGGGTACCTGGTGCTGTGCTTCCACGATTGAACGAAGGAACTCGAGACGGCCTTGTTGCAATGTACCGATTTTGGCAAAAGAACGGTGGTGGTGGTAAGACAAGGTCCGGTCCGACTTCCGACCATCCGAAAATGGCTCAAGATTTTTGATCGTGGGTCACTCGTACGTCTTCAGAATCTGGCGGTAATACAGAGATAAATAGCTCTGTGAACCGCAGAATATTGTCACGGAATTTCTAAAGAAGTTTTATTTTTCTTTGGGTATAAATTCAAGTTTTCCATCAATGATCCGCCTTTGTTTGAACAGCCAGTACTTCTGTCGGGCGGAGTCGAGAATACCATTTACTTACTGGTATTAAATGCAAGATGGCATTCAAGTTCCCATGGACGGAAATGGACTGAAGGCGACTGGAAGGAGCCTTTACGACAGACTCGGAAGCAAAGAGACAAATAGTTACCGGGCTTAGGAAAGTTTAAGTGTGCTTGGTGTTCGTTTTTACCTTCAGCGTGCGAAAGTTTGGCCCAAGTTTGACACGGACGGAAAGAATTCAAATCCTATTGAAATCGGACTTGATTACCCGAAGTCTTTGTATACTCAGAGAACGGCCGCAAGGAGGACACAAGGTAAATTGCTTCAACCAATCAAAGATCACAAGGACTAAGAATTTAAGATGAGCCCGGTATTTATGGTGAATGCATTTATTTTAGGAAACTGGATTCGCGCGTATGTGTGCACAGACCTCACGGATTGACAACTGTGAGGACCTAGCTGTCAGATGGCGTGTTTCCCCCTTGAAAACCAGTTTTTTCGTAATGCTCCACTACCCTAACACTGGGAAAGAGCGCCAGCAAAAGTCCGAGCCTGGACCATACTTTCGCACCAATAGTCAATGGACGCGGTATTCAAGAAGGGCCACACGTAATACGCATCAAAACGCGTCTCCCGGTACTCCATTTTGAATTTTGTCGGAGCCACCGGGAGGGTGACAAGAATGGAAGGTGCTATTCCCGACCACCGGGCCTTCGCCTTGATTTTCTTGCTCTCGTCACGTATGAAATCAGAAGGACTTCTGCTTATCGACGCGTCCCGGTACCCCACACCCTTTGATATTCTGATATTCTTGATTCTTTCTCGACACATGGCATAAATCATTTGATTGTCATGGACAACTCGTGTTTCGCGTAATGAGTGTACATTAATTTTGGAATATGTTGTTATGAAATGAAATTCGTTCGACAGCCATCATGAAAGGCCAGGAATCGCTCGGAGCCGCTACTACCGTGAGAAGTCCTCTAAAACGGGTTATGTTGCTGCGACGAGGTCGGCGATTCGCCGAAAGCTATTCCATTCTGGTGTGGTTGTTGGGCTAGAAATTAGTTGCTCCTAATCTGGAAGTAGCACTGAAAAGTTGTATAAAAAGGCGAGGTATCCGGTAGTCTCTTCAGCCACCTACAGCTTTAGCATCATGTCTTCTCCTCAAACCTCATTTGCTCCCACTGCTACTGCCTTTGCCCCAGCTGCTGAAAACCAAGTCGCCCCCGCTGCCAACAGGGGATTGGGCCGCGGCGGTGTTGGAAAGCAAAAGGAGGCTCTGAAGCTCCGTTTGGACCTCAACCTCGAGGTCGAGATCGCCATCCAGGCTAAGGTCAACGGCGACATTACTCTTTCTCTCCTGTGAGCTAGTACCTGCCTGTTCAGTTTTCGTTGTATCCTAATCCTGGCTTACAGCGAGTAAATGTATCTCGAATCTGAGTGATCAAAAGGACTGGTTGTTGGATTGTCAGGTTAGCTTATCATTTCTGTTAATTTGGGGTACTTAGGATTTCCTTGCAGGATCGTAATGGTTGGGACTTTTGATTGCGAAGATTTCGGTGCTGGAAGGATTTTTCTTTACATAGTTTGGTGTTTGATGAAATATGATGATAGTTACTTACGATTGCCCAATTCTCACTGTTGTTTATGTTTGAAAAGTGGCATTGTTAGCGTGATTGGGCTTCTACACGAAGCGACATGTCTTACTTTCATGGTCAATGCCTTATGGGCATGTTGAGCGTCAGATAAATTACTTTCTTGTGCTCTGGCAATGATCAAGCAGAGTTCAAAGTAAGTACTTGTGAGAGCATTGACTTATTGTGTAAAGTACATGTGGATGTACTTGTAAATCTGCTTCATTTACTTGCTGCACCATTCGTTTGAGACAGATCATTGGAGAAGCGAATTAGAGTGATCTGGGGTTCGTTATCGTTGCATGAAACCGTAAGGAACTACTACTTTAAGCATAGGAGGGCAAGGTGAGGTCACGCTTGACGCCGTCCGCGGGTTATAGCTCTGAGCATATCGCGGTGATGCATATTACGTCATACTCAAACGAGACGCGTCAATACTGGCGACAATCTCAATTAACGCGTGCCAAGTCGGTTTATCGACGACTGACACGCGCTAATAAATATATTCAATCAGTACCCTAGCTCGTAGAGGAGAAACCAAGAATCGGAAAGGAAATGGATTGCGGCACTTGGAGTGGAGCCCAAGTTCAAGGGAAATGCTCGACCATTATAATCTGGGGGTATGGAGAAACGTACGTACCCGAAAAATACAGCGTGTACCACTCGTGTTGAAGCTCATGTTGAGTTGGCTGCGGAGCTGCTAACACTGTAAGCACATTAACATTTGGTCTATTGAGTCTGGCCTCGCACATTGCAGTGAAGCGTCGAAGAGCCTCATGGCTGAAGCCGTCCGATTGGCTGGTTCAACTCAGATTTCTACGGTTGTTCTTCGCCTCAAAAAGAACCTAAACGCACAGGAAAAGCAACTCGTACCTTGCAATTACCCATTTCCACATGCGAATTCAACGGCCTGCCGTGCTGCGTTTCGGAAAGAATGCCCCTCACTCAAACCCCGGTCTCAGCAACTTGGAAGAAAAAATGACCACACGCAGTACGCGGTACCTTCAACGGTTACATCCGAAGTCAGAAGGGTGTGATACGATCGTCGCAAAACTCGAGGCTCGGCGTCATTACCTACAGTCATGCCATTGAGTCCAAGTCGAGAACATTGTCGCTGTTCAAACTGAATCTGATGGAATCAAGATTCAATAGCCACGTGGAATGAACAGCCACCAGGCGAGTGGGTGGTCGAAGTACACGTGATGGTGGCCGGTTTCTGCCGCAACAGGAATTCACCGATCCGTAAGCTTTCAAGCGACTGGGTGGAAGAATCAACCATTTGCGAGTCAATAGTATTGAGTAACAAGGATATTGATCGGACCCGACCCACATATTGCGGAAAGTTTCCGCGCTCGCCAGCATTCACCGTGGACTGTCATGCTCTTAGTGAGCTGGAAAGACCAGGTGAGCACCCCAATTTCGGGTTATATTTTTGTCTTCCAATCGGAACTTCCGTGGGGAGGGGAAGGTCTGTCCGAAGATTCAGCGTTTTGATTGGTACGTTTGACAGAGTTCAGTCCAGACCTCAAAGCAAATGGATTGTTACCCAGTAAGTTGTTGCTAAGCGCTAATTGGCCATGAACTCCATTGAGCCTCAGAGTTTCACGGCCTTCGTTCCCGTGTAACACGGTTTCCGTCTGCCTTACAAACTTCAACTTGAATCATTAAGCCTAGAATGTGTCTAGTGCCAGGAGACCGTCTCGTAACCATTCTCGGCCAACGTTTTTCACGACATCCCGGCTCTTCCGTCGCGAATGAATGCGCAATTGCGTTTTTTTCCCAAGGCAATTACAGCTCATGTAAGCTGCTCTGCTCTATTGGTAAACAAAGCCTTCTTGGCTTTGCATTCCATTCTCCATTTGGAAGCTAATAGCCATAGAAAACGTTCCGAGGTTTTTTTCGTCAAGCTCAGGACTGCGCTGAACGAGCCACGCTACTTCCCGGCCTACGCCAAGACAAAGACAATAAAAACAGCTTCCATACCCGACCCCTCTTGAAGGAGTAAAGGCTACAGTGAATTTGAAGTCCGGCGGATATTGCGTGAGACCTCGCAGAGCCGGTACGTCGGGATTCCCGATTCTCCCAAAATGGTTTTCATAATCATCAGCGTAAACACGAATGGCTACCGAACAATGAGATCACAAGGACTTTGAAGAAACATCAAGCAGAGGAACGGAGTAGAAATCCAGTACCTTGGCGAAGGCACGAAACGTTTGTGCGACATCTGAAAAGAATGTATTTCTGACAAGTGCAGAATAATGACCCGTTTGGAGTCCCTTCGACACGGGTTGTCGTTACCCATCTACACACAAAGCTGTCGCTTTGGTACAGCTCGGGTGAAACCGCATCGACCGAGCCTAGTTCAATTCAAGGAGGCTGTGGTTCAACTCGGTTTTTTGAGGAGCCGTTCGGAAACCATATACAATCGCACCGGCAAGAGTTACCACCAATCGCGGCCTTTCGAGATACGTTTTAATTTCCTCCGCCTAAGTCGCCATACAGATAGCCCATCACACACTTATGAGAATCTGTTTAGCGCAGCATACGCCACCGGCATACTAGCTGGAATTTCATGACCGCTCGTGAACTTGCGGTTCATCTTGAAGGTACTCTCTTCCAAGATTACCCAAGTTGCTATAACGGGACAATCGGTTCACTTTCACTCACTTTTGTAACGCGTAGTAGTGAATGCGCATATAAAAGGCCTCGAATTTGACAAGTGATTCTATCGAACCTTCAGTTCAAATATCACAAAATGTCTTCAGTTTCCGCTGCCCCTTCTATCTTTGGCTCTGCCCCCGCTCCTCGTAGTGGTAGCGACGACCCCGCTGCCGGTGCTCTCACCCAACCTTCCCTCGGAAGGCTCGGTGGGAAGCAAAGGGAAGCGCTGAAGCTTCGCTTGGACCTGAACCTCGAAGTTGAGATCGCCATTAAGGCCAAGGTCAACGGTGATATCACCCTCTCCCTTTTGTGAGTGGGTTCGAGCTCGGTTCGCAGTACCGTGTCCCTAACTACACTTTCAGGGAGTAAATGTTCGATGGAAAAATTAGCAGTCGAAGAATCAACTGTCGGGATATCAGGTTAGTCTAGGCTGCGTCCATGAGTCGTTCCAATGCTGAGATGCCTCAAGACCGTCGGGAAAATCCATTCTTAAGTCCTTGGATAGTAGTTACTCTGATACGGATTGTATCTTCTTTCCTTTTTCTTTCTTTTATTGTGCTTCCGGAAGTTACCAGAAAAGTTGTGTGCAGTAAAGTACCTACTAAATGTCAATGTCAATATCAATGTTATTCGGGAATTCAAAGCGTGCGTTTGAAGTGCCTAGCCAGAAACCGTCAGTAACAAACGACACAGAAAGTATACGGTAGCAGAGATTCGGTTTCCGCATGCTCGAATGAACAGTAGGAACTGTTTTAAAATGGTAGACAATTGAACTTGGAAGTTCCGAGCGGCATTTACGGCATGATGGAGAAAGTGAATTTCATGCCTATCGATCTTGGAGTGATGACTGTATGTTTGATATTTCCTACGGCGTTGCGCTAGCACTGACATTTCCTTTCAGGACTTGTTACTTTGATATTTGCACTAGTACTCAACATTGTACCAGTCCATGTGCAATTTGAACTCAATATTTTCAATGATGCCGGTTATTGCACTTGATGTCTAGCCTCCACGGTATCATCGGTACACGACGACTTGTTTAACAACTTTCAGCCACGCATCTCTGTTTCAGACGTAGTTTGTATGAGGCTTTGCTCCAGTGAGGAAGTCGTCGAGCTTGCCCTCTTTGGCTACTCAACATGCATCCGGTGATCAATTCCTAACTGCGCAAATTGACCGTTAGAATCTTACCGCTGTCTGAACGACATCCAGGGAAATTGTCTTAGATGCTCACGTTCACGTCAGCACTCAGATTTGGCGAAGCTGGACCCATGCGATGACTCATCACCAGTCAATTATGCTGGCGCGGGGCCCCCTTCTACAAGTGCTTTACTAGTTTATTAACGGGTAACACATGCTTACACATCCCCAGCAGGATATATAAATTTCATTATCCATCACTGATTCAGTGCCGCCAATTAGGTACACCATCGGTCCCGAGGATACGCCAACTCTTCCTGAGTTACGAAATATTGAGGATACGAAGGTGGGACTGTAGGTTATGTAAAGAACTTGCACTCGTCCTGTTAATGAAACCATCTTTCGATTCCTATCCTATTTTATGTTGTCGCCGAATGATATAGATTATCCTCTAACAATTCGGACGAATTCTTTTCATGCAGCAACAATGGATTGACCAAGAGAAAGGGAACGAACATGTCTAACAGTGCTACAAGTAGAGCATTTGACTTTCGTTAATTCCAACATCCTTCTTTTTAACAAAATTCGGCATTAAAAACAACCGCCAGCTAGCAAAGTGAATTTCAGTATCATTAGGACTTTCAATCAGAAAAGACCAACCTGCTGCAGAACCACTGGAGTGGTCTACTCGCTGTAGAACAAGTTAGAACCCATTGAGAATACTCCAGCAGGTCAGAGACTCACAGGAGAGAGAGGGTGATGTCGCCATTGACTTTTGCCTTGATGGCGATTTCGACCTCAAGATTGAGGTCCAGCCTGAGCTTCAGCGCCTCCCTATACGGCTTAGCGACAGCTTGAGTATAGGTTGGTTTGTGAATGGTGGTAGCTTGGTTATGGGCAGGACCACCAGGAGAGGAAGCGCGAGAAGAAGCAGATTCAGGCATGATGACACTGGTTTATGTTGATACTGAAAACCCAGCATGTCTTTTCCCTTTTATACCAGCCAAAGGGTGAAAAAGTCCTCCTATTTTGGATCTAGAAATCGAATATCGGGACTCTGTTGGCGCATAAAATCGAGCGGTGTTCATCGTTTCGTAAACTGTGCGGGGTGTGTTAGCATGGCAGATACTGTGCCTTTGGGTGACATCTGTCCACTAGAGCTGAGGACGAGCAGTCAGGACCTGAGAGTGTCAAGATCCATAAGGACATCAGCGCTCGCGCAAACAGCTTTCTATTCTGTGCCGCCCCTGGCGGGTTGATGTTTAGAATCCACGGCAAAAAAGAATCAGACACCAATACGCACTGATCCGGCCGACATGTTTGAATGTTCCTGGACTCCTTCCATCAAGAGTCGTACCGAACATTCGTTACTTCGCGTCACTCGGGCAGAAGTGTCGCCATCGCAGATTCATATTCATAGTCAAGAAGAGCCCGATACACAAAATACTATCATTGCACCTGCAATTACCTACCTGTCGAAGCGTCTATGTTTACACTTCAAGCCCGGAAAAGGCAACTATCACGGTCACGGGACAGTTCGGAACACGATCCGCGCAGCATATAGTGCATAAAAAACAATCAGGGAGCATGCATGAACCCACGCATCGGAGATCTATAAGTCGATATGCTGCAAAACGAAGCCTAGAACTCCACATGGACGCGGCTTGGCACACAGTCAACGTTTGAGAAAATGTCGGCACGCGCAGCTACCTATGTTGACACATGAGATATCATATGAGGCGGGATCTGATGCCAGAAGTTACCAACTATATGTATCTTTGGTCATTCACAAAGCATATGGAGTCTGGATATATCACATATCCTAGGAAAGTATCGGAATAGTCTGTGTGCCGCTGTGCAAGGCGCGGGGCCTACCGTTATTCACTGGGTCGATGTCAAGCCATTCAATTTGTCCAACAAAGCTCGCCGTGTTCACACACCATTCGAGCGCTCCTATTCTTTTCCGTAAGGATTAAATTCAATTACTGCGCCTCTCCGCAGTGGAACATTCACCAGGTCGCGAAGTTGAGTGAAAATGACAGTCAGCAGTGTGTATCAATCATAATAAACAGGGCTGGTGCATAGGTAGAATTTCAGCGCCGACGCAGTTAAGGAACGAGGGATGCCGTCCTCGTACCCATGTGCACAAGTCCCCGATGTACCTCGACAGGTGTGCGGGGATTCTTATGGCAATTATGACATGGATATCATCAAGAGTTGTCATTTGGATACAAACGATGGGGCTAGTAGCACTGTATCCCTTGATATAGTCAGACCATGGCCTCATTGTAGCGGATCAAGACGTTCTAAGCTGTCTCTGGTTGATATTTCGTCCAATACGAAGCCAAGCAACTTTTAAGGCAGCTGACGATAACAGTATATTGTTAAAACGAACGAGAATAAAGAGCTGTATTCCAGACTTCATTTCCCCAAGAGGCCTGAGCGCCCTTGCGATCCATCGCGAGGTTTTTTCAGGGCGCTGTCATCTGATAACCCCATACATACCGCAGAGTACTTCCCTTTGACAGATATCATCATGTAAACTGCCCGTTACGTAGCCCGAAGCATCATTCGATCCTCCTCTTCGAAAGGGACAAGTCAGACAGTTCCCTGGCAAAACGACGCACCCGCAGAGTTCCCACCCTCCACTCTGCTCGTATAAAAGCAGGTTTCGCTAGAGATTTGCTCCAGACACCGCAACTACCATGTCTTCTCCTCAAAATGCTGCCAAATTTGCTACCGCCGAGCACCCCACCGTTGCTGGTGGTGAGAAGCACATCGCCCACGTCCCAGCGGCCATAATTCCCCACCAAAGACACAGGGAGGCGCTCAAGCTCAGGTTGGACCTCAACCTCGAGGTCGAGATCCAGATTCAAGCCAAGGTCCACGGCGACATCACGCTCTCTCTCCTGTGAGTGAACTTGACTATCCCGACAAATTCAGGCTGAATGCAATTTTCAGCGACTGAGTGTTCAGTACGGGATAGAGGCGGGGATTAGACCGAGTGGTTGGGTTATTGGGTTGGTCATTTGCTTGCTCCTCAGAGACGTTTCCGCGCTAAAATTCTTTTTCCTATAGAACTTTGATCAAGAAGTCTATTAGCCACAGAAAAAGACAGTTATAATACCTTTTGCTATCCCCTTAACATTATTTTAGCAAGGGCTTGTGTTCTATTCGTCACTAGTTTCTGTTCCATTTATCTGACACTAAGTATCTATGAAAATGAGCGTCATGTAAGGTCTACATTGAAGGTACATGAGTTACTTACTAAGTCAAGCTCGACGCCTATAGCTGTAAGGGCGGAGTAGAAATATACAGACGTCGTCTCATTGAGGGCATCAACTTCAAGGAACACTCCTGTTACTTTATCGAACCAACAAAAGACGACCAAACGTGTGCAGGGACTATAGGTACCTGTGTCTCTGCAGGCATGAAAAAAAGAGGCTGGATGATTACACCTCTTGGCAGAGTTGCAGAAGCAAGAATATGCACATATTCCTTGGGCTGATGTACATGGGCCATGAAGTTGACCACCGTCCATCTCTTACATCTTCCACCCCGCATCAGCCCGCAGAATTTGCTAATCCTTGCTCTCGTCTTGCCCGACGTTGCGCACCCCGCACCATGCCCTCAACCCGCCTCTCACTGAACTCCGTTGACGTATAGATCCTCTGGAACCGGTTCGACGTCCTAACGACACCTTGCCCATGTGCCAGTACAAGCTTCCGAGAGAAGAGCCCTGAAAACGTCATGCAATTGGAAACATACGACGAGTATAGTATCAGAACGAATCGAGCCTGTCGATGAGCACTTGAGTGTGTCCAAGTCAACACTACTATCGGACGATTTAACATCGCGCAATCGCTTGGCTGTTTCCTCTCATAGTCGCGGTAGATATCATCGTTGTAATGTTTGTGTGACTTGTAGAGTGTCCGAAGACATGCGACCAGGTATCGACGAGTCACTAGTGAGTTTGGTAGACCGGTGATAAACAAGCCTTTGGGGACGTCATGTTTGGATATCGGCCAAGTAGTTCAGGCTGGAGTAGAGCTGCAGAAGTCCCAACTAAGCCTTTCGAACTACTCGTGAGGATACCACAAAAAGATTGGTAAAGTCGCATACCTTCATGCCTGACCTGCCCTTTCTCTCTTCCGGTGTCGATTAGGGCATTATATCGTCTTGCACACACATTATTCTGACGTCCAGTATCCCAACAATGAATGATAGTGGATTAACTGTATCAGCTGATAGAACCTCGAAGAGAAGGGACACGAGCGTATTCTGTAGTGAGGGTAAAAGGGAGAACTGACAAGTCCAAAAACGGAAGCTTAGATTTGCCTTCAAACTGAGCATAAATCTCAAACAAACTCAAATTGGTATCTACAATATTTGAATGCTGCTGAATACGCCTAAGAGATTGAATGTGAAGGGAAAAGATGATGGGAAGACATTCATGTAGGTAAGGATGATTCTAAGTGTAATAATTTCAATACTTCAACCGAGGCGTTATAATAAGAAAATCTTACCTGGAACGTCATCATAGAATGTCAATGCCATCCCTTCATGATCCCAGTGCAATTACTCGCTAATAAAAAAAGGACAATTAGCCAGAGGATACCACGGCATGAAATCCACTCACAGGAGCGACAAGGTGATGTCGCCGTTGACCTTGGCCTGGATGGCAATTTCCACCTCAAGGTTCAGGTCCAAGCGAAGCTTCAAGGCTTCCTTGGGAGCGACGGCGCCTTGGTTGGAGCGGCCGACCAGTTGTCCGCCAGCGACGGAAGAGGTCTCAGCAGTGGTGTATTGAGTAGTAGTTGGGGCAGACATTGTGATGCTGAAGAGTAGTCCTGACGAGCTCGGCCTTCTATACTACGAGTCTTAGGATCAGGGTACGGGCAACGTTATTATCGCGCCATCGTGAATCGGGTGTCCTGCCCTAACAATTTGAGTTTGTAGAAGACCGCAAGAGAGGGTCTACATTTCGTATTGAACATGCTGCAGATACGAGTGACACCTGTCGCTTAAACGCGATTCGAGGCCTTCTGAGAAGCAATTGGGTAAGTTCGGATGTGTTCGACGCGGTGGCCTTGCCGTGTCGTTGAAAAAAGGACGAAGTAACAGGTGGACGCTTGTCGGTCCAGGCTGAGTGGCCGTGGGAATGGAAACTGGCCCCGACTTGTCTCTTGCCACCATAAGGATCCACCAAACCTTCTCAGTTCGCTATTCCTGCATGGATACCATGCAATTTTGTGCGCCACAGCCCTATTCTTCCCTTGAAATTTCTTGCGGCGGTGCCACGGAGTTCATCTCGTTATACGGAACGGCATGCGGTAGTAGGAATCAGCAAACTATGAGCGAAGAACCTTCTCGTGAGGTGAGAAGTCTTGCCCGAAGCTTATCGTCCCTGGTTACTTACCACACGTCTAGGAGCACGACACCCAGCCTCAGTTGCGCCACCGTATTTTTCCCTCTCTATCTCAGCAATGGAAAAGAGCAAGTCTACCTGATATCAAAGAGTGACATTTTCGCGGCCCTGATAACCTAAGCGTTGAAGATTCTTTTTTGTTATTTCGAATAAAGATGCTCTTGTAGGTTCGTAAAGTCGGTGTTGCTGAGGGTCAGAAGTTCATGCCCTGTTTGAGCGACTATGCCGTACTCCGAACTTCGAGATTTTGCTACTTAGCAACATCATTTTCTCTTCCATCGGTATCCTTCGCTCACTGTACCTATCAGTCACGCCACCGCGTCTCTGCAGGGTTCTTCCTCCACTATCATGCTAATTGAATGGTTTTCGACATCGTTCGCTCGTGATATGGAAGTCTTCAAGAGATTTCCCCCCCCCTTCCCGGTCGACCACCAGAAAGAGGCGCAAGAATAATGATTCATGTTCGCGCATCTTCGACTTGAATGGAGGCCGGGAACAGCCTCTTCTGGACACAGTCGAGAATCATCAGTGCTTCATAGCAACGCTGCATTTTGTAGGCGATATAGTGTTCTTCACACATACTATGCTGGTTCGGACGATAGGCTCCCCATCGTTTAGCGCTTTATGACACTTGGAGACAAAAGGGTCCAATGATTATTAACATGGGCCTCCAGTAGTCAAGACCCTACCACGTCTCTGTCATTATCGAATCATCACCGACAACTGCCAGGAGACGTCAACGTAGTTTGGGTCCAGAGGTCTCGTCATCAAGAGTTTGCGAGAAAAGTTCGTTTGCGTCTAGGCTCTGAGGACCACATTCGTGAGTCTTCCTTTGAGGTAGTCTAGCTTTTACGACGGTCCTCTACAGGGTTGAGGCCATCCCGTAACATTCAAAACTCTTTCCACCGTTGTTGGAACCATGGAAGGATATGGGAAAGAACGTTACCTGCAGACAAGACCAATTGCCATTTTCGGTGGAGATACAGTCGAACAGAACCTGACCCGGACACCTGACTTCACGTTACCGACACCGTGTCAGTAAGCCCACTCCTCATCGTCTCCGACATGCTTCAGTCGGCGCGCTTCCTGATGTCCATCATGCTCTTTCGTCAGACGTCGTGCCCGAAGTTGTGGTTATTGCGCGCCCTTGTCCAGACATCCGCTACTCCCATGGAACCGCAGGCTCTCGACGAAGTTCTGCCACCTTTCAGCAAATTGTTTTGTCAGCCCTCGCGGACAAAAGGGTCCGATGCTCTTGATAATGGGCATGGAGTTTGACTCTTCCGAGACGCAATCCTGCCTCATGAGATTCCGGACTGAATTGCGTATTACCGTGTTTTCACCGTGATCTTTCTCGCATGCCTTGCTTCCATCTGGGCGGCCATAAGGGTTTGCACTTGTTCAAGCCATCATCTTGGACTGTGCTATTGAGGAATGCTGCGAAAGATATGCCAACATCTCGTCGTTCGCGTCTGTCATGGTGACAGTGACTCCTTTTCTTAAGGTCGTGGCATTCGCTTGACGCTTTCTAGCTCCTGAGTTTTGACCGCGTTCTGAGTCTCATCTTTCCCGTTTCCTTAACAAGGCAGAGCTTGCGCGCTGAGAATGCAAAATGGGACTCCAGCATTCACGGACATTAGGATCCGACGCCTATGGCGAGGAGTTATCGTCTCTCGATAGCACACATTGTACGTTTATCCCGCATGATCCCCAAGCATAGCATCTACCAGACCGTTGTTCAGGGAAGTTAGGACAAGTCCTCCCGCCTTCATGTCGGGCCTGAAAAGACAGCAGCGATAAGATGTACGATTTCAATCAAACTAAAGGACTACGACACGAATTGTTCCTAGCTACAGGTAGCAAAGTCCAAGACTCATGGTAGTAAATGAATATAAAAACCGGGACGATAGCAACTGAATGGACAGAAGGCAATATGAGTAAGGAACGATAGCAGTAGGTAAAAACGGGCAATGATAATAGGATGGGCGATTTTTTTGGGATTTTTGAATAAATATGCTGTCAGTGAATAACGATGAACTTGAACGCGTCGGAAGGGTGCTAGCCGATCTGGTTGACCTTGAAAAGAGGGTCAGAAATTTATGGAGTGCTACAGTAAGACATACAATTTCAGGACACGATCTCAGGACATCTTAGCGGAGACGATGAACGCAGCGTCGGACGAAGCCGATGTTCCATCGTTGACAGTCAACTTGCCACTGTGGTAGTCGACACTGAACACAACGACACCGTTGACCTCGACGACATATTTTCCCGGCTTGCTGAATTTCAATTTCTCCGATTCCTTTATGTCTTTGGTGCTGCCGCCAGGTTGAATCACAACACCATCCACAGCCCCTTCGTTAGACATGAAGAATGAACGGGTCGCGAAATTGGCCATGACGATTGTCTGGTGGAGTGCTATATTTCAGTTGCGCGTCAGGGTTAAAGATAGTATGCGCACACCTTGGAGATGTAGTTGGCGGTCAGGTGCTATCAGCCGAATAGTAGAGAATGAGCAAACACAAGTGCAACTAGAAACAATGGAATGGGACATACAAGTCGATTAAAGAAGCTGGGCAATGGTGCTTGACGCTTTTGAGAGACGAAGGGGTGAGCTTTTATACCTTAGGGATGTTGCACGGCGGCCCGGTGAACTCGAAAGAACTTGTCCAAAAACAAGGTTAATTCCTGGGGGATTTCTCCAAACATATTCAACTGGGAGGAGGAAACCAGTTCGTCGGACCTGATGACCTGATGGAACAATGTTATTGAGAAAAAGTTGCGAGGGAAATATGCCTGCCAGTGTCTGACATTGACATCTAGCATTGAACTAGCATGAACTTTTTCTGTGTTCTCTTCATTTGAGATCCGGGGAAAGGAGCCATTTCGTAGTACTGGTTTTTCACCTCCACTAACCAAAACAGCGCTGGAGTAGTGTCGAACCATTTATGATATGCAGGACGCTACAATGGACATCATTTAGACGCCCAAATATTTCATAGCTATGGAGCTCAGGCTCCATTGAACGCGCTGCATTATCATCCTATAGTAAAATCACATTCAGTCAACAATGATATTATAAATGACCATAATATGAATGACATGTGAGGATATTCTGACCCAATCATAGACGAGCATGCGGGGAACATGAGGATTAAGGATATCACCTTTAGCACAAGAGCCAGACAGGATGGGGCAACGTTCAATTGGTGATTTGCTGTCTCGCATCCCAACCATCACCGCCCGGCGGAGATGTTCACATCACCTGAGGCTTGAGGAAGTCCAGTCATCCACGAATTGGTTGTCATTGGCGCGCGCTTATGATGCACTTGGGCGTCTGAAAAGAATGGTCAGGAGACAACTGGTGCATCGCCACCTGAGACATTCCCAACGTCAAATTTCCACTAGCGTGTGAAGCGTGCCGTGACAGACGCGTCAATCACATCAGGCAGCAGTCACAGTCTGGGCGAGATCCTGCATGTGGGTCCTGCGTATTGTACGACAAAGGACGATATTTTTCGAGAGATTCAAGCGCGTCACAAGTACATGCGGCCTTAGTTACACCACGTCGCTGATCAAGTCCAAATACAAAGTTCCAGTCACCGCGACTGCCCTTGTCGCCTAATATTAATCACACTCCCAGATGTGCTTCGTGCGAGGCGTCACCGCTAGTTCATTGACAGCGAATGGCTTGAATGGAAAGCTTTAACTGAGTAACAGACCTTCTTCTGGCCCTTGTCGGAATCTGTGCTGATCGCCTCTCCAGATTGAAGAACAGTGATAGTTACAATACGTGGAAATAGGTTTTTTACATTACTGGGATAACATCTGGACGAGCAAGGAGATTTCGGAGGAGCATTTGTACATCCATCCCAGCCAATATCTCAAACCAAAATAACACTGAAATCGTCAATCAATCGCGGAGGTATTCGTCTAAGCGCTGAATACGGAGTATCTAATAGCCATCCTGCACACGGTGCTGAACCGACCACTACAAATCTCTCCGGAACTAAATGGCCTTTCGCACTCTGCTGTCATACCAGGAAGTTGAATATCAACGGCAAGTGATATCACTGGAATCATCAAGCGGTAACCTCAGTTGATGCATATGGATCCCTTGGCCTTGGAAGCGTTGTTTTCCACCACTTCGGAGCATTTAAACACGTATCCAAGCGATAATTAGAAACGTAGTGACGGAGATGTTTCTGTTTCAATTGTGACAGCTTCCAAGAGGTGGGTAAGATACATGACAATGAGAATGAACACAAGGTTCTTCTAGCGATCCATCTTCTGTCAGCTTGCTGCTGTGTCGCAGAAGATGTACAGATTGAGAGGAGGTTCGCGTGTGATCCAAAACAGCCTTCAAGATGTGCTTAGAGGAAGAGACCTTCACGACAAGCCTATGAGCCCATGAAGCAGGGGACATGTGTAACGTATCTCTCCAAAGCCCACAGGCACAGCCCAGAATCCAAAGGGGCCTGGCTACATTTAAACTATCATATCTTGGTGGGTATCACCACTGCGGGTCGCCAGAAAAGTGAAATATTTCAATGAGAACATCTCGGGGAAGATGGCAGATGGTAATTGCGACTTTCGAGGGCTTCCAGGACTTTATATCGCCATCGATGGATATACGAGGATTGCAGCTGTTCCAACTCGACAAAGATATAGACCGTATAGTCGGAGTCAATCAATGGTCGTGACCCTTCTAGGAATTGCGAATGGACAGCCTTGAGAGATTGTAGCTTTCACTCGGGAGGAAGGAGGTTGATGAATCCATAGTTGCTGCAGGCGAGACACGAAAGGGCAAGAATCGCACGTGGCTTCATTAGATCTGGTTCTTATCGGTAACCGTCATTTGTTCGTTGCTGCTGCTGATTCCCGCGCTTTTTTTCTGTTTTGTTCCTTCGTATTTCTCCCCTTAAAGCTGTAGATGAATTGAACGGCAAGTCGCGAGGACTACCATCGAATCACGACACAATTCTTCAAGTTGAGTACACGTTGTTCACTGTATTAAACATGTATCCAGATGCCTGGGGCCAGTCACGCTACCATATTGTTGCTATTAGCACCTTCAGTGTGAGCAAATTTCCCTCCTGGGCTCCAATATCGACCTCTTCATTGACATGAGTGCCATTTTCCGTCTCGTTCTTCTCTGACAGTGTCCATGTAGACCTGTCTCCTGCATCTCGGCTCGGTCCACTGAAAAGGTCGTTCGAGCAGACAACCGGCTTTGACATCAATTTAGTGTGAAGTTTGGCCCTCTCGAGAAGCAGGCCCCTGTGTGCGCGTGGATCGTCTGGCTGTGCTTGTACCCCTCAGAAGTATGAAGCGCATGGTCAGTCTCGTTCACTCTTGTGGCAGAAGCGAAGCAAGGCGGTGATCTTGGTCGCGTGAATGGGCATGCATGTACTCACCGGTAAGTAGTCTTCGATATTTTATACTTGTCATGCTCAAAGTGTATTCAGATATTTATGTCTTGAAGAACGATGCGTATGTCTGTCGGTGAGTAATCTACGTGACATTTCTGCCTGTCGTACTCACAGGAGATTCGGACACACACTGGATAAAGAGTACTATGCCCATCATCATGACACATGCGTCAAAGCTAGAAGATAGCAAAGTGACTAGTCAGAGGATGAGAGCTAACTTTACACGAGCCTTGTGACTCTGTATGCGGATAATGGTTCAGAATTGGAGGCGCTTTGCGCCAGTGTTTGCTGAGGTGCTAGAAACTTCTGGCAATAACCTATCGTTGACTAGGACTGCTCGCCGTATTCACGTACACCCAGCACCTGCCCACCACAAGATCTTTATTCCCACCTTCTGTTCTCTCATTTCCACTCGGGACGTCTCTGGCACTTTGTTCCACCTTCCCGCGTTACGAAGCAATGGCACCTAGCATGTCCACACTGGCACCCGTTGATTCAGACACCTGTCCATGGCTTTTCACCATAGAAGCTCACAAGCACTTCAACGTGTACGTGTCGATGGCAAGGTTGGTTATCGCTTCTGTCTGCGGCACAGAATCTCAGTTCGAATCTGGGTCGATTCATATGAAAGAGATCTAGCATTTTTATTTTGGACGTCGGAGTCAATGGGTTACCAATACCATTGAAATTTGATGCTCTGCTCGTTGATGTTCGAACTTCGAATCTGGGCCGGCGCCGGTTTTTTGTTTCTCTCCCGTCTAGAATCGACTCTTGCGGCAGACATTACGCTTTTTTCCCTATGGTTCAGGACGAACTGTTTGGGCTGGATAGTGCGCCTCGTCATCTGGATCCTCAGAGGGGAGTAAACGTGCCAGAAATCGGAGCAGGAGTGGTGTTCAAGTGGAACGTTCCTCCTGGACGTTTACGCGGATCCATCGATAGTGCACTTGCTTATCGTGGGGGCATGCATGTCGTTGCGCTGAGTTGTTTTTCCAGTCGGCAATAATTGGTTGGTTTGGATGCGAGGTCCGGGTATAGTCCAGTCTGAATGCCTCTCCTATTAAACCTACAATACAGTACAGTATACTCCTCGTAGTAAACCAGTTACTATACATCCATGACATTCATAAGTCTCTATGATGATGAGGTGGCAGCTGAGGCAGGAACGAGAGAGATCGTCGTAGCTGCAGAGGAGGACTCTGCAACCTCTGCATCAGTGGCACTAACATCTGTAACAACAGACGCGCCCATGCCCGTCAAGCTCGCCAGGAGACTCGAGGCCTCGTCAGGGGACAGCGTCGTTGTGACGGGTACCTCGGTGCTCACGAACACCGTCGCGGTGGGAGTGAGTGTGATGGTCACGGTGACGATCCCGCTCCCGCTGTCGGTGCCAGACGTGGTATCCGTGGAGTTGGCACTGCTGGTCGTGGAATTGGTACTGCTGGTCGTAGAATTGGACGTGTCAGTGTCGGTGCCAAAGATGCCCCCAGTAGTGCCCGTGGCATTGATGATGGATGCGGCGTCTATCTCGCTCGCGCACTGTATGAACTGCACACCAGGGAACCGTCAGTCCCATGAAATAAAGAAAGCAAGAGAGAAGGTAATACGTACAGTCCCGTTCTCCCTCACGGACGGGAGCACAAAACACTGCGCCGAGCCCGAACAAGGGGACGTCGTCCATTGGCTGTTGTCCCCGCATTGCGCCACGTCGCTAGATATACACGCTACTTCGCCGGCTATATAGTACGAAGGGGGGGATGAGTTGAATGTGCGAGGAACAGGATCAGACAGGGAGACACACTGGAGCACGTATCGTTGACGCTGAGGTTCTGGAACGCGACGTTCTGGGACTGGGCAGCTTGGCCGTTCGCGAGGAGGGCAGAAGCATTGAGGGAGGCTGTGGGTGCCGCGTGTACAGAGAGGAAGAAAGAAGTAGCGAAAAGAACGGAGGAGAACATCGTGGAGAAAAAGCACCAGGCTGGAAGGAAGAGAAAGAGAAAAAGGTGGAAGGCATTATGGACTCTGGCGCGAGGGTTTTATGTGTGCCATACAAGAACAATAAACAAGGGACGTCCTTTGTTCTCTCTTCACACCGGGGTGACGTCATTTTTCGGCAAAAGCGGTTCGAACCGAAAATCAAAGCACCAAGCGGCTGCACTACCAACCCATGGATATTCAGTTCTAGTTGACAGAGTAAAAGATGATCATAAATTTTAGCCCATTGCTAAGGTCAAAGACTCTCAACATCCAATGTTCAACTACCGAGGCCGTTGAATACTGTTATCTATGGATACCACTACTATTTAAACTTGTTCCTTAAATCACAACCTGAAGCCTTGAGAACTGACTCTTGACAGTGATCTCGACAAAAAATTATTATGAGTCGACCCAGGTTCGAACTGAGGACCTGTGTACAAATCATTCCGATTGATGTTAGACAGATGCGATAACCAACTACGCCATCGACCCTTTAAACGTAGTAGACTTAAGTATCGTAATCATTTGAGCGAGACAACATTGATATTAGCATTACTACGTCTATCAACGCCGGTAAAATACTAGCACAACCGTCGGAGAAAAGGAGGAGGTAAGCAAAGTGGTTAAGGGCTAAGAGGATGAGTATCAGCATCGACAATGGGTGGTACTTAGCACTGAAGTATCTCTCACCTGGACAATACAACTTCACTCCGACGCCATCTTCCCGTGCGCGTAGCACGTTTACTCACTGTAAAAATGGACAATCAGCCCCGATGACGCGCCAGCATAGGAAATGGTGCTTACAGGAGCGACAAGGTGATGTCACCGTTGACCTTGGGATGGCAATCTCAACCTCAAGGTTAAGGTCAAGACGGAGCTTTAAAGCTGCAGGGGGTGCAGCCTGGCGCTCAGTGCGGCCGACGATCTGGCCGCCGAGAACGGAGGAGGATTGGGTAGGTGCGAATTTGGTAGCAGTTTCTGGGGCAGACATTGTGATGCTGAAGAGAGGGAAGTCGATGGGGTGGTCCCTTTTATACAAGTATCGATCTCGAGTTCTGGATTAGGATGAGGGCGAGAGCAATGTTATGATTGCGCCATGGTGCATTTAGCAACTCGGGTGCCTCGTCGTAGCAAGTTAATTAAGTCTCGAACTTGAAGTATGCAGGTGTAAAAAATTTGGGGAAGAGAAGACTGTACACGAGAGGAATGTGGACACGTAAGGGTTTGTTATTTCATTCAAAAGATGGGGCATGTGCGAAGGCCTGGGAGATGGATTCGCGTGCTTCTGATGCAATGTACGATGGCATTTTCAGATGACAGTTCAGACATACGACGGCGCATTGGTTGGATGGATAAGCGGAGGGAGAGAGGTAGAGCGACCAACGGTGGTGGCGGGGGGTAACTGGGGCTGCGAACAATAAGTTACCAACCCGACTGGAGACCTAAGCTTCCCGTAATGTATGTCGACAGAGAAACAGATTCAGGGTCGTACACGTGTTGAAAAAGAAATGTGTCTAGAATTCGTATCAGTCCGAGCCTGATGTGTGCATGTCGATAGTAGAGAGCAAGGTCGTCGCTATCTCACGGTTCAGAAACACGCATTGGAAACTGTATAGACTTGCCATGCTCACGTGCCGAATCAAATCTGGAGTACATGCGCAACGAGTTTATTATGCTTCCATGCCAGGTTGCTACCCCAAAACGATGCAATGATAACGTACCCTATCCTAATCCAGATGTATAAAAAGGACTACCGCATCGACTCCCTCTCTCCAGCATTACAATGTCTGCCCCAGAAACCGCTACCAAATTCGCACCTACCCAATCCTCCTCCGTTCTCGGTGGACAGATCGTCGGCCGCACTGAGCGCCAGGCTGCCCCTCCCGCAGCTTTGAAGCTCCGTCTTGACCTTAACCTCGAGGTTGAGATTGCCATCCAGGCCAAGGTCAACGGTGACATTACCTTGTCGCTCCTGTGAGTGTTTTGGTCGTGTTGGCACGTCGTCGGGTTGACTGTTTGTTTTCATAGTGAGTAAACGTGCCACGCGCACGGGGAGATGGTATCAGAGTGCATTCGTCAGTTCGAGGTGGGACTTGCCACCTGGTACTTGCGGTTTTCGTGCTGACTTGTTAGGGCCTAGTCGTACCGGTTACATTCTTCCTTTCATCCTTCGTTGACAGTGTCTTGTTTCTATACCTACTAGATACCAATGTCAGTGTTATTCTGGGGTCATGCAATTGAGGTTTTATCGATGACGCGAATCCTCGCGCTGAGAGTTCTGATGAGTGTTCTGAATATCTTGGACACGTTTTACTATGCAATGCGTACAGTCATCTCTACCACGCGCGAGGCCATCCATCTTTCGCATCCTCTAAGGGGGTACTGCAACAGGCGCTCTTTCATATATCAAGCCAGCATACAACCAGCCAACTCGTCCCATCGCACCCGGCTTGCATTCCTCTCCCAAGTTCCACCTTGCAAACTGGAGATATCGGCGCCAAGTGGCAGTCTCGTTCTGGGCTTTACGTATCCCGAGTGGCTCTGTGGGGCGCGTCCACCTCGCCTTAGTACTAGCGCTTCTCTGAACGGGCTTCCTACCCAGAGCAGCGCACAAAAGTCCACACGTCGTCCTCCACTCGCCCAGCCACACGCGTTCCCGTACTCTGTCTCTATTCATTCCTGGGTGCGCCTCTGAGCTCCACACTCGCGGATAGGGGGATCCGATGCCTACTCGCGTGGAGTTCGAATCTCTCGAGTTGTGATTGTCTAATACGATGGACATGTCCCTTGAGAGAATGTGGAAACGGGACCTTTCCAAGTCGTGACTTCTCGTTCCTCCGGGGCATCTTCTCGAGTTTTCTACCATCATGCTAGTAACATCACGGAGCAATGGGTAAGTGATACTTCACTACTATTTCCTAAATCCAATGGAGATGCTGCTAACACAACTAGGATATCTTCTTCATCCATCCTTCCTACGGTGCATCATCATCTCACCAACAAGAAACCTCAACATTCATGTCATTGGCGGGATCCCCCATATTACCTATCACGTTTGTTGTCTCGACAACTATGTCTGTCACGACAGCGGGACCATTACAATACAGTTGCATCAAGCAACCTAACTCGGCGAGCAGAATAAAATGATCCCAAAACATGGACACTGATATTGATATCTCGTAGGTATAACAACGCCCGAAAATACTACAGTGTAGGTAGGGAAACGGAGGATGGGAAGAATGTAATCGACGTGACCTGACCCCTAGCATAACGGTTCTCAGCGTTGGACAACAACGTAGAATGACGAACATCTCACCTCAATCCGAGGAATGCACTCCGCCTCTGACTCCCCATACGCGTGGCGCATTTACTCACTGTAAAAATGGACAATCAGCCCCGATGACGCGCCAGCATAGGAAACGGTGCTTACAGGAGCGACAAGGTGATGTCGCCGTTGACCTTAGCCTGGATGGCGATCTCAACCTCAAGGTTAAGGTCAAGACGAAGCTTCACGGCTGCGGGAGGGGCAGCCTGACGCTCGGAGCGACCGACGATCTGTCCACCGAGGACGGAAGAGGATTGAGTAGGTGCGAATTTGGTTTCTGGAGCAGACATTGTAATGCTGGAGAAATAGTATCAGACGCGGCCGTTCCTTTTATATGAGTATCGACTTCTAGATTAGTTATAATTGGGCATCACGATAAATCGGGTGCCTCCTCGACGCTCCAGAAGAGAAGACTTCGAGTTAAATTTGGGATACGTAAACGGTTCTTATTTCTTATTTTGCTGATGGTCGGCCCATAGGTAAGGTAAGCCCTACGTACGAGCGCTTGCTCGGTAAAAATGTAGACGTAAGTATGGGTGTTTGTAGGTCCACCCGAGCGAGGGTCTAGACCGTGAGAATGTTTTTGTTGCCCGTCACCTTTCTTTCCTGCTCATAATCGAAACTTCCTTCCTTAACTACAGTTGACTATCTCACAATGCATGATGTCGAAATGCATAATTCTGACTTTGCATATGGATTGGGCTGGAACGCAGTTGGGGAGCAGGGAAATGGGCTAGAAATGCATATCGCATAATGCATATGGTTCTAGTTAGGAATATGCATTGTCAGATCGAAAATTATAGTAAGCTGATATGACATTATGCATATATTAGAACAATAAAGAACATAATTTGTTTGTATGGACTATGACAAACACAAAAAAAATTATTGTAAAGCAACGCAGCCTATATCTCTATAAACATGCCTCCTGAACCAACACGAAAACCACGTGCTAAACCTGGAAATCCATATGAGCATACAAAACAGAAGGAGAAAGTCCCAATATACACATCATCAGCTCAGCCTCCAAAGCAGATCTCCCGCCCACACCTCACAACAGGAGACTGGCTCGTAGTATTCAAACACGTTGATAACCATCCTTCCCATCGACATGCTGACATTGTGGCACATTTCGCAAACCGAAAGGAAGGTGCACTGCTCTTTACCCAATCAACTCTTTCACGGAAACTGGCATCTTGTACAAAAATCGAACAGCGTGCAAACGAGAACCCTAATGCACTATCATCCAAAAAGTCTCGTATTGTCACCCGACCTGATGTGGAGCATGCTGTTGCATCCTGGTATCAGAACATGCAGCTCCGAGATGAGACTGTGACTGGTGCAATGCTGATAGAGAAGCGAAATCGGATTGAAAATCTGATGAATATTCCAGAGGATCAGTGTTTGAAAGGAAAGGGATGGTTGAGGTCATTCTGCAAGGCATGGAAGATTCAGGAGGTTCGGTGGCATGGAGAAGCAGGCTCAGTGGATATAATAGCAGTGAAAAAAGAACGTATGCGTCTTCACAGCATTATGGCAAAATATGCGATGTGGGACAGATGGAATATTGATGAATCCGGTCTTGTCATCTTTGCCATCCCAGATCGTACCTTGGCATCTGGTCCTATGAGTGGACGAAAACAGGACAAGTTCCGCATCACCATGTGTTTTGCTGTGAATGCAGATAGGAGTGAGCAAATGCCAGTTGTTTTCATTGGCAAGTCAAAGCAACCACGGTGTTTCAAAAAAAAGAGTCCAATGGCAATGGGATTCTATTATCGGAATAACAAGAAGGCCTGGATGACGAGCAAAATATTTACGGAGTGGGTGAAGATGTTTGATTTAAAGATGAAGAGGGAGATGCGGCAGGTTCTGCTGACCTTGGACAACTTTCGAGGGCATTCCATCGCTTATACACCCCATAACACAAAGCTGGAGTTCTTCGAGCCCAATATGACTCCATATGTTCAGCCGCTAGATGCTGGTATTATCCGCTGCTTCAAGGCACATTATCGGAATGCCATGTGTATCCGTGCACTTGATCTCGATGATCTTGGAGAGTCTGAGATCTTCAAGCTTGATCTCCTTGAAGCTATGACTATCGCTCGTGATGCTTGGGCAAATGTCAGCAGTGAAACGATAGCAAACTGCTGGAAACACACCGGTATAATGCCTGACAATGCACCTGAGTCACAGTCTACCACACCATCCAATGATTTCCAAGCTGCCTCACTCTTCAAGTCTGCCTGGAACCTTGTTCGTGACTTTGCCTCAACAGACAAATACACGCTTCCAGGGATCGAACAGGCATTGCAGGATCTGCTTGGAAACCAATATGCTGATGCTGACTGGCATCCTGCTCTTATGGCTGTTATGAATGCAGAGAACGATGTTGGTAAAGCACTGGAGGCAGTCAATCAGTTGGCTTCTTCGTCACAGTCAAAAATGAACACACCTCCCACCCAAATTGCCCCCATTCAACAGCTCCAGACAGCAGAGATAATGTTGAAG